GAGCCAGGTCGGTGTTTGTAAAGTTGCCGTCGACCCGAAGGACGGCGGGAAGCCTGCGGGCGAGCCGACCGCGGTTGAACGGCGCGCACGCGTGTGTGTGTACGTTCGTTGAGCTTCTTGCTCACCGTACGTATTAAACCATGCTAATCGTAGGTTGCCGAACGAGTACATGATAAGGTCTCACTCGTTGCCAGGATACCTCGCTGATCTCGTCGGGGAGCATAAACCATCACCAGGCGAACTCGAGACATCCTCGCAGTGGCGGATTTTGGCTGGCCACCGAAAAAAGATGATCACCGCATCGCGCGCTTTCAGATGCGCCTCTGCGGCCATCTGGAACGCTCTTCTGATATTTGGAAGCCACTGGAGCTACACACTTTTAAATAATCTGGATTGAAAACAATTTCTTTAGAACTGCTTTTTGTGTTTAGTTTGTTATCTTTTCTCCGCACCTCCGATTAGCACGGTTGGCTACGTACTGTGCGAAAGAAGTTCAACGTACATACGTACACAATTGGAAGTGCGCACGCGCGTGCTAACTTCACCAGATGATGATGCCGCTCCACCCACGCGGAGTGGAAATCTCTTCTGAACAAACCCGCCGGCTGGCTCACGCCCCGACGTGCCGCTACTCGTGCTGACAGTTCCACATTTGTGCACAATCGCGATTTGATGTTTGATAATAATAATGAAAATATACATCACAAAATCAGACAGTGGCTGCAGTCAGACTTGCCCATGGGGTCGCCCATTACGACCACCCCCCCCCCCCGTGCCCCCAGCACGGAGGAGGAGGAGGAGGAGGCTAAAGACCGACAATTGAAGTGACAAGGATCCCCACTCACGAGCGTGCGGCACCGACGGTGCCGTCTCAGCCGCAGTCCTCCGGCCTCCGCCGCTCCCCCCCGGGCCGGCGAGCGCCGCGGCCTCCCCCTCGCGACGACGCAGCCCGTCCCGTCCGAGGAGAGTTGCCTGGAATTTGGATTATTTATCGGCGACTTTGCTCAGGTCTCCGGGAGTCCGAGGGCTCCGTTGGCTGAAGGGGGTGGAGTGGGGCGTGGGAGCGGCTTCTAGGAATCTCTAGCCGAAGTGTTGCATCCCCGTTTCTCCCTCTAAGTCTCTCTCACACACGCGCGCTTTCTCTATTTTTTAATATTTAAAAAAAATAAACGAAAATAGGTGGTAAGCCCTCGGGGGGTCTCGTCGTCCCGAGGTTCGGACGCGGACATTGCGCAGGCCCACGAGCCAAAACGACGCGTGCGTGCCACACGAACCGCGCGAGCGGGAAGATCCTTTCGAGGTTTTTGTGGTTGTAGTCGTGGGCCTCCGGTGAGGGGGGGCACGCGAGCAGCTCGCAGGCTGGTGGGGGGGGGGGCCGGAGGCCCTCCGAGTGGCGAGGGGGCGAACACCTTGGGTTTGGTGGCGTCGTTCTCCCAGCCCACGCTCCGCGGGCCTGGTGAGGCGAGGTTGTGTTGTAAGGAGGGGTGAGTTGAGGTGACGGTGAGGTTGGGGTGAGGTGTTGGGGCGAGGCGAGTTGAGGCTTCACCCACATGGCAGGGCTGAACCTCCAGCCCCTCGCGTCCTCCGCTCTGTTCCAACGTCGCTGGGTGAGGCCCAAGGAGCCTGGACCCACGGCGACTCCCCAGAGGTGGGTGCTGCTCCTCATCTTCATCGTCAACTTGTCGATATCATCATCACCATCATTGCCATCATCATCATCATCACCATCATTGTCACCGTCATTGCCATCATCATCATCATCACCATCATTGCCATCATCATCACCATCATTGTCACCGTCATTGTCATCATCTTCATCTTGTCGGCATCATTATCATCATTTTTGTTGTCGACATTGCCACCTTCATTATTGCATTCACCATCCTTGTCATAGTCATCAACATCATCATTGTTGTCATCTATGTTAACATCATCAACAGTATCATAATATCATCTTTAAATATGTCTTCATCGTGAACGTTAAGATTGGTTGCTTTTAGAATGTTCTGACCTGAGATTCTGGTCAGCTGTTGTTTCGAGCAACCGATGCTGACTTGAATGAAACTTAATTTGGAAAGCCATGCAGACTAAATTGTACACACACTTGTGGTCAAGGTAAACACATGTATAGTACGTCCAGTGTGTATATATACATATATATACATGTATACACATGTATATATGTATATACATGTATATACATGTATATATATGTATATACACATGTATATATATACATTATATATACACAGCCTGGCTTGTCTCGGCTCACGAGTGAGATACGTTCCACGAACATTGTTCGGTAAATCTTGACTTAAAGCTTTCGTGACTGCAGGAATTCATATTCTTGGGTCTTTCGGTAAAGCCACGTAGATCAAAAAAAAAAAAAAAGCAAGATTATTTATTTATTTTCTATTTTTAAAGCCCCAAGAATATATATTGTCCGGTAATCGAAAACTCGTTAAGCGATCGTCGTATTCCCATCAAAATGTTCACACTCTTGAACAACGTGTTCTAACCTGAACAATACACGTCATTTTACAATAAAGTAATAAAATATAAAATGTAACACTTGCTACACATGAAGAACCACGGTGCTTGCAGGGGCCTGGAATTTCTGTTTGAACGATAGATGTTCTTATATTAATTTGCATAGCGCCTCAACCAAGGTGCTGAACAAAGAATTGCCAATTGTACAGCAGAATAGTAGTGTTGTGAGACTGAGAGGAGTTGATGGGAAGGATGTTAGCGGGTGGAGGTAGAGGTTGTAGGTGGCATTGACCTGACGCTGGACTCTGACACTTGCCTCTGTTTCTCAAGACACAGCTCAGTGTAGCGCAACATCGCCTCGCGTATCGTGGCATCGCCTCGCGCATCGCACGATTCGCTTCCCCGCTACGTTCGTGGTTCCGATCACGGCGAGTCGTAGATGGGCCGGTCCGTCCGCCCTTCCTTCGATTTTGTTTCTGTTTGCTTGGGCCAAGTTCAGGCAGGGTCAAAGTTGGGGTGGGCGTCTCCCCTTCATCGTTCCCCTCACTTCGTCTCGAGCCTGAACGGGCCTCTCCGCTCGCGGCCCACTCGCCGGCCTCGTCGCGCAGCAGCTCACGGCGGACGCGGTGCAGCGACGAGCAGCAGATGGAACTGCTCACAAAACTTCGTCACTTGGCTGGGGGGCGGGAGGGGCTGGGGGGTGGGGAGCGGGGGAGCGCGCACCACGACACGCGCAGGGCCACGCAGGGCAGCCGGTAAACGAAAGAGCCGCGGGACGCTGCCGCCACGGGCCGCGTGTCGTTCGATCGGTCTGCGCTCGCTGAGCGATCGTTTCGGGTAAAAAATATATATAATGGGTCTAAATTAAAATAGCGAATTCTCGTACAAAGAACGCTCCTTACATGAGACCAGCCCGTGTAGGTGTTGAATTAAATGCACGCAGAAATGAGTTTTAGGTCAAAATAGTCGACATGTGACTGATTCCATCCAGTCACGGACGGTGATGATCAACCATTGTCGCAAACGTCTCTTCCTGGCCGGGCGGCTCGCCTGGAGAGCGAGTGGCTCACGGTCGCAAGGTTGCGAGTTCAACTCCTGCCCTTGGGGGGGGAGGTCAATAAAACCAGTACCGCTTTGTGAGCAAGTCAAGAGTGGTGGTAATCCGATGAAAACGCTCGCTGCTGCCATAGGAATGTGGAATTTCCACCGCTGCCTCATTTGCCCAAGAAACCACTTGGGTCGTGGTTTTCTTTTTCGTAAGCCGCGCTGATTTTTTCGAACTCCCCATGAAGAAAAAACAAACCACCGCGTGTTTTAACGGCCTGGGACTTAAATATCGCCCGGCCTTTCCCTCCTCTGGCCCTCTCCTCTCCCCTGGCCTCCCTGCCCCGGACCCCTGGCCCTGACGCCCCCCCTACAAGGCGAGGCAGAGTTATTATTGGCGGCGGTGTCGCTGCGCTCACAGGGAGTTAAATGGGGTGGCGGTGTGAGCGGTGGCGGTGGTGGGTGCAGTGGTTGCCACCTATTTCCACTGTAGACCGAAGCCCCGGGGCTATTTGTCAGCCAGCCCTCGCTCCCTTGCTATCACAATGTGCGTGCGCTGCAGGCTCGGTGCGGCAACACCGGCACCACACATCTCGGTGCAGATGAATTGCTGGCTCGGCCCATCGTCCCTCTGGGGTCGAGAAAATGTGTACCAAGTTGTGGGGAAGCCTCCAGTGGGAATGCAGAATTTCCACCACGATGTGAGGGCAGTAAACAGGACCTCATCTTTCATTTCCTGCTCATATTTTGAGTTTCAGCGCTCCCTTTTGGAGTGGAACAAACTAATGACCGTATTCTCCGGGATTATAAGACGACCTGGAAAGTACGACGCACCCCAAACTTGGTTAGTAAAGTTATAAAAATCTGGTCTTACAAACACGCGCACACCTAATGCACCTTCCGGAGTTTTAAACGCGCGCGCACCTATAAATTAACAGGGCATAGGAAGTTAAAATGTGGAGCGTATGGCTCTGAGCGCACAAGCCTGCGCTGACGACCCTGCGGGCGGCCCCTCCACCTCGCCGTCTACGGCCGCTGGCGCTGGCCCACGCTGCTCGGGGGAGGGGGGGTGGAGATGATGGCGTGACGAGTGGCGCGGGCGACGCTGCCGACAGGCGAGGGGGGGCCCAGGCTCCCCGCCCCCCCCGCGTGAAAACGCGACACCGGCGATCTCGGAATGCGTCGCCTCGTAAATCTGCCGTGGGGAGTTCTCCAAAAAATAATTTGGGCAGTGGTACGGCTCCCCCCACCCCCCACCCCCTGTTCGTCATCGTCGTCGTCGTCGTCGCCGCAAGCCCAAGAGGGTGATCCAGACACCTGTCGTCGTGACCGCTCCGCTATGAATAGCGGAGCGCGTGAACTGGCGCTCCCGGGGCCGTTGGAGGGCGTGCGGACCGCGGTGGGGGCCGGTGGGGGGGGGGGGGCGGTGAGAGGCGTGCTGGGAGCTCGAGCGAGGACGCTGCGGTCATTCGCTCGCTCGCTCCTCCGGGTGCCTCAGCAGAGTCGTCGTTGCACGAGCGGATGTGAAGTCTCTCCTCCCGAGCGTCGCCGGGGGTTCCGCTTGGGCATCGCCGCACAGCTTCTGCGTGCCCATTTCTCCTGGCCCGAGAAGACAAAGAGGAAAAAAGCTACATTTTTAAAATAAAAATAATAGTGTCGCTCGCGGCAGCGCTTCCCCACGTCGGTGAAATCGAAGTGCGCGCGTCGAGACGTTCCGGGGAGGTTCCTGCCAAGATGGTCGGCTCCCAGTCGTCGTCGGGCCGGCCTCCGGCCATCCCAGAGCACCAGGAGGCCGCGTTCGAGGCGGAAGAGCCGTGGTTGGTGCCGGAGACGGCCGTGCTGCTCACCGAGGGCCCGGCCCCGCCGATGAGCGCGGTGCCTCCGGCCACGCCGCCCGAGTCGAGGGAGGTCGCCCGGTCGCGCGTGCAGCGCCGTAAGAGCGACGTGCGCGTCTACAAGGAGTTCTGCGACTTCTACGCCAAACTGTGAGCCGCCAACGCCGCAGTCCCGCCCAGCCTCCGCCCTGGCACGGCCGCCGTGGTGCTGTGCGCTTCGGGCCACGGTAGTCAACATCTCGCCACGGTGGCGAGATGTTGACTACCGTGCCTTGCTTACAGGAGGCCGTGGGTTCGATCCCTACCCTGACGACGCCTGCTGCTGTCTATTTGGAGTTTGCGTGTCTCTCTCCCTGTGCTCACGTGGCTTTTTATTTGGGTCCTCCGGTTTTTCCCTACACGTTTAAAATCGACACGCATTTCGAGTATTCGGCTGCTGTACATTTCCACGCGATGATGATGACGATTCACTTCGTTGAGCTATCATACCACCATGCCAGGCCATTATCACATCGTTATTTACAAACTCTTTTTATGATAATTGGTTCTTTACCCTTCTATCTGGCAACAAAACTGACACCTTTTTGCAAGGAGTCATAGTGTAAACTCTTTTTATTTTACCAGCTATGGCCCACTGAGCTATGGAGCTCAGTGGGCCATAGCTGGTAAAATAAAAAGAGTTTGTAAATAACGATGTGATAATGGCCTGGCATGGTGGTAACACTAATGCCTCACAGCAAGCAACCCCTGGGTTGAATTCCTGACTCGGGCATCTTCGTTTGTGGAGTTTGTATGTTCTCCCTCTTGTGCAGGGGTGAGAGTGGGTGAGTGTGGTGTCGTGGTTAGCGCGCTGCGAACCCGGCGACCCGAGTTCAATTCCTGCTCATGGCCAACGCCAGTGACAATTATCTGAACCGGTCCTGGGCCTCCCCTAGGTCACCGCATCGCACGCTTTCAGATGCACTTCTGCGGCCATCTGGAACGTTTTTCCTTCCAATATTAGGAAGCCGCTGGGAGCGATGCACTTTGAAATCATCTAGATTAAAATCTATTTTCTTTAGAAGTGATTTTTGTGTTTAGTTTGTTGTCCTTCCCCCGCACCTCCGATTATCGCGGTTGGCTATGTATGATGTGAAAGAAGTTCAACATACATACAGATGGAGGAGGGTTTACTCTCAACTGCACACAGATTGAATCAACAATCCACGGCTGTACTGACGTCTTCCTGTTGTGTGTCGCTGTGAAGGCGCAGAAGTCTGCTTTGCGCTTGTAGGGTTTGTGAATGTGGAGTTGGTGATTGTGTTGTTGGTGATTGTGGAGTTTTGTGATCGTGGAGTTTGCGTTTGTGGAGTTTAGTTCGGAGCACACACAGGCTGAGGCCACGAGTGCAGCCGATGAGCAATCTCACGTGAATGTGTACACACCCAGAGGAGATGATTTCATTCTATAATTAACAACTGTGCTACCATACTCCTCTCTCTGCTGTGAAGAAGGGCCATCGCCGCAACCACCGCCTATCACCGCAGTCTCCGCACTTTCTCCCGTGTTTTAAAGCTAGAGATCGCGAGCGTGGCTTATAATCCAGCAGGCGAGTGTGTGTGTACGTCTGTGTGTGAGTGACCAGAATTGTGGGGAGTGGTGGCGTAGCAGGTTTGCGCGCTGTGCACCTGGAGACCCCAAATTCGATTCCCGCTCGCGGCCAACAGCAGTGATGATTTATCTAAACCGGTCCCGAGCTGAGGGCCGACTCGGCCTCTAATGAGTACCTGGTGCGGTGTGTTAACATCACCACTGGAGAGACAAAGGCGCATTGCTGGCCACCCACCTCCTCGTGTGCCATGCCGGCCTTCATAGGTGCTCGCTAACAGCACTTGCCCCCACAGTCTGTTAAGGCAACATGGGGGATCTTTATAACCAGAATTGTACAACTTTATTGACACTGGGTACAAATATGGGGTGCGTCTTACTTTCCGCAGTGTCTTCTAATCCGGACAATACACGACAAAGACAAAGATCCCCCCCACCCGTACAGTCTTAACAGACGGTACACACACACACACACACTAGTGTGTACACACAGACACTAGTGTGTGTGTGTACACACACATACACAGACAATTCCCAACTGAACATTCAAGTTCGATTCCCAACTGCGAGCGACTGCTGTGAACACCGGAGGACGACGAGGCTGTGCCTCTGCTGATTGTCGCCCTGCCTGGGTGACCGTGGTGGAGCGAGCGAGCGGGTCAGCGGTGCCCGTGACCATAAATAGGTTCTCGCTGACAGCACTCGTGCCCCTGCAGCCTTAGCTGAGTGAGCGAGGGGTGGGTGTGTTGACGTGAATGGAAAATGCCTCTCTTGTTTTTGGCGATTGGTTATGGAGCCGGCGAGGTTCGTGAATGCGCGATGGCCACCCACCCCCTCGTGTGCCGTGCCGGCCTTCATAGCCGCTGCACGATAACGGCTGTTGACGCTGTATGGGGAGGGGGGGGGGATCGTTGTCTGTATCTTTGTCTTCTGTCTGGGCGCGACGGTGGCTAGGAGATGTTCACTACCTCGCCTGGTATGCAGGTGGTCGTGGGTTCGATCCCGACCCTGACGCCTGCACATGTGGAGTTTGCTGTGTTCTTCCCGTGGTTGCGTTTTCTCTTGGTCGTCTGGTTTTTCCCTCCACATTTAGACTCAATGTCACGAGTTTAGAGTATTTGGCTGATATAAATGCCCACATGATAGGCCACTTCTTGCCATGATTTGTGGCCAGGTCGCTTCTTGAAATAAAGCTAGACAGCTCAGTGGGCCTTACCTGGTTGAATAAAAAGTAGTTAATACTTCTAGGCTACCAGGCATGGTGTTAGCCACACCCACCACCACTCGGGCACCTCGTGCGCCGTGCTGGCCTTGATTAAGTGCTCTTGCTAACAGCACCTGCCTCAATGGCTACAGATTCGTGGTCTGTGTACTGCACGCATTGTCTCTGTGTTACAGTAACATGGCGTCAGCGTTGTACTACACCCAGTAGACTGTCGTCTCTGTCTCTGTGTTACAGTAACATGGCGACAGCGTTGTACTACACCCAGTAGAACATCGTCTCTGTCTCTGTGTTACAGTAACATGGCGACAGCGTTGTACTACACCCAGTAGACTGTCGTCTCTGTGTTACAGTAGCATGGCGTCAGCGTTGTACTACACCCAGTAGAACATCGTCTCTGTCTCTGTGTTACAGTAACATGGCGTCGGCGTTGGCGAACGCGGCGTGCGAACGCTGCAAGGCCGGGTTCGCCGCCACCGAGCGGATCGTGAACAGCAACGGGGAGCTATTCCACGAGAACTGCTTCGTGTGTGCGCAGTGCTTCCAGCAGTTCCCCGACGGACTCTTCTACGAGGTGACGACTCGGCACTTCGCTCGCACGCCCACTCGCACGCTCGCACGCTCACTAACTCACCCTCTCACCTGCTCACACACTCACCGACTCATCCGTATACCAGATCACTGGCTCACCAGCTCACCAGTACCACGTGACTGTGACTCGCCAGTTCCACGAGACCATGACTACCGCTAGTACCACATCACCATGACTACCGCTAGTACCACATCACCATGACTACCGCTAGTACCACGTGACTACCGCTAGTACCACGTCACAGTGACTACCGCTCGTAGCGTGCGACAGTGATGACCACTAGTACCAAGTGATTGATGTGAAGCATGTCATTCTCGCTGTGTCTGTGTTTCAGTTTGAAGGCAGGAAATACTGCGAGCACGACTTCCAGATGCTCTTTGCTCCGTGTTGCGGGCAGTGTGGTGAGTAAGCACACATATACCCACACGAACACGTACTCACACACCCACATACGCGCACACGCGCTATACACGCACGTGGGCACGTGTGTGCCACATGACCTTTCGAGAAGTTGTTTTGTCGGTTTTTTCTCCAATCCGATTCCATCGGTGGCGTGGTCGTGCCGTGAGCTGATGTCTCCATCCGGAAGTACGGCAGGGAACTGCGCACCGCCCCCCGTGAGAGAACGGCCCACAGAAGCGGATATCAGAGATCTAGTTTTGAGATTCCTTCAAGTGACCTCTTATCCACGCTAGGGTGCGGCGATTTCACATTCTCAGAGCTGAGACTTTTTCCAAGTAACGATAATAAAATCCAAAATGTGATATTCTGAGGTTGTTTGGCCACTCAGAATCTCACTACGATTAATGTGGGAATAACGACACGCCGAGCGAGGTGTGCTCACAAACCACGGGAACGCGTGGCGGTCACGTGTCCGCCACGCCGGCTCAAATGGGGCCCAGAGCGTTGCACGTGCGCAATGCTTTCTGTTTGTTTTGGGGTCCGACCGTCGTTCCCCCGCCCTCCGTTCCCCCGCCCCCCGTTCCCCCGCCCCCGGTTCCCCCGCCCCCCGTTCCCCCACTCCCCGTTCCCCCGCCCTCCGTTCCCCCGCCCCCCGTTCCCCCGCCCCCGGTTCCCCCGCCCCCCGTTCCCCCACCCCCCGTTCCCCCGCCCTCCGTTCTCCCGCCCCCCGTTCCCCCACCCCCCGTTCCCCCTCCCGTCGACCGTGACCGTGCGGCGCTGCGCGTGTCGCCGTCCGTCCGTTCGCCCAAATCAGGCGAGTTCATCGTCGGCCGGGTCATCAAGGCAATGAACAACAGCTGGCACCCCGAGTGCTTCCGCTGCAACATCTGCAGCGAGATGCTGGCGGACGTCGGCTTTGTCAAGAACGCCGGCAGGTGAGGGGGCAATGCTCGCCGAATCGCACAGCGTGCGTGTGCGCATGCCTGTGTGTGCGTGCCTGTGTGTGCATGCCTGTGTGTGCGTGCCTGTGTGTGCGCGCGTGTGTGCGTGTCTGTGCGTGCCTGTGTGTGCGCACGTGTATATGCCAGTCATCTCAGTCAGTCTACCCATGGCACCTGGGTCGGTCCTGTGACCTCCTGCCAGTGATATTTCAACAATTCACGTGGCATCAAAGTGCACATTGCCTGGCACAAGCGCCATGGTGACATCACCGCCACTTAGTGGCGAATGGCTTTTGTTGTTGATACGGGAGCAGAGTGCAGCGGTTATCGTGCTGCACTACGAACCCGGCGACCTGAGTTTGATTCCTGTTAACAGATAATATCTGAACCGGCCCTGGCCTAGCCTCCCTTATGTGAACTCGGGTTTAAATGAGCACCCGGTGCGGTGTGGAACCATCGGCACTGGAGAGACAAAGGTGGACGGGTGTGGTGCTGGACCGCCACCCTTTCGTGTGTCGTGCCGGCCGTCATAGACGCTACTCGCTAACAGCACTTGCCCAAGCAGTGCGTCTGACTCGTGTTTATCCGTGCGTGCGTGCACGACCCATCCCACCACAGACACCTGTGCCGCCCGTGCCACAACCGAGAGAAAGCCAAGGGCCTGGGCAAGTACATCTGCCAGAAGTGCCACGCAATCATCGACGAGCAGCCACTGCTCTTCAAGAACGACCCCTACCACCCGGACCACTTCAACTGCACCAACTGCGGGTACGTGGCTTCATCGCGCTGTAGGGTCTGTGTTGTGTTCACAGGTGTGTGTGCGCGTGTGTGCGCGTGTGTGTGCGTGTGTGTGCGCGTGTGTGTGCGTGTGTGTGCGTGTGTGCGTGTGGGGAGTGTGGTGTGGCGGTCATGCGCTCTACGCTACGAACCCGGCGACCCGAGTTCGATTCCCACTCACGGCCAACACCGGTGACGATTATCTGAACCGGTCATGTGCCTCCCCCAGGTCGACTCAGCCTCAAATGAGTACCTGGTGCGGAGTGTAAACATCGCCACTGGGGAGACAAAAAGGCCGGGAGTGGTGCTGGCCACCCACCCCCACGTGTGCCGTGCCGGCCTTCGTAGTTGCTCGCCAACAGCACTTAAAGGCTACACGGGGATCTTTGTGTGCGTGTGTGTGCGCGTGCAGCAAGGAGCTGACGGCCGATGCACGCGAGCTCAAGGGGGAGCTCTACTGCCTGCCCTGCCATGACAAGATGGGGATCCCCATCTGCGGCGCGTGCCGTCGCCCCATCGAAGGCCGCGTCGTCAACGCCATGGGCAAGCAGTGGCACGTGGAGGTATGGTGTTCTCTGTGTGGGTGTGTGTGTGTGGGGCACGGTAGCAGTTAGCACACCACTGCGCTACCTCCTTGTGTGTGTTGGGACTTCATCTGCACCTTACGTAGCCAACCGCGTTATTTGGAGGTGCAGGGGAAGGACAACAAACTAAACACAACGAGCAGTTCTAAAGAAATTAGTTTTCAATCGAAATTATATAAAAGTGCATAGCTCCAGTGGCTTCCTAATATCGGAAGGAAGAGCGTTCCAGACGGCCGCAGAAGCGCATCTTTGGTGACCCAGCGACCCGAGTTCGATTCACGCTCACCGCCAACACTGGTGACGATTTATCTGAACCTGGTCCTGAGCCTGCCCTAGGTCGACTCGGACTCAAATGAGTACCTGGTGCGGTGTGTAAACATCGCCACTCAGGTGACAAGGGCGACCGGGCGTGGTGCTGGCCACCCACCTCCCCGTGTGCCGTTCCGGCCTTCACAAGTGCTCGCTTGACAGCACTTTCCCCTACAGCCCGTTAAGGCTATACGGGGGATCTTTCTCTTTGTTTGAGTGTGAGTGGGTAAGTGTAATGAGTGAGAGAGTGGGTGAGTGTGTGAGTGTTACAGCGAAAACGCGTTGTGTGAACACGCCATTGTCATAGGGCTGCTGCAGGAATATTTGGTGGGGGCAGCAGAGGGGACAGCATAGCAAAAATCTATTGTTGTACTGCACTTCTAGACTCCCACGTATGCCTCTGCTGCCTGCGACGCATCCGGGAGCGGCTGTTGGATTTCCGCGATCACCATCGTTTGTTCTGTGTCGTGGTGGTGTCGGTGTCGTGGTGGTGTCGGTGATGCTGGTGTGTCGGTGATGCTGGTGTGTCGGTGATGCTGGTGTGTCGGTGATGCTGGTGTGTCGGTGATGCTGGTGTGTCGGTGATGCTGGTGTGTCGGTGATGCTGGTGTGTCGTAGTGCCGGTGTGTCGGTGATGCGGGTGGTGTTGATGTGCTGGTGTGTCGGTGATGCGGGTGGTGTTGATGTGCTGGTGTGTCGGCGTGTCGGTGTGTCCGCAGCACTTTGTGTGCGCCAAGTGCGAGAAGCCGTTCCTGGGACACCGCCACTACGAGCGCAAGGGGCTGGCGTACTGCGAGACCCACTACAATCAGGTGAGGCTGCCCACCCGCTTGCCGCTCGCCCGCCCGCTCTCCCTTTGTGTGCGCTTACTCGCCCACCTAGTAAAGATGGAACGTCCGTCCGACGTTGGCCCAACGGTTCCAGCAACGCGCCAACAACGTTGTCGCGTTTACTGGGGCGGGGGGAGGCCTCGCCAAGTCTCGCGAGGGTCCACGACAGTCACTCGGTTTACTCGTTTTTTTTTTGTTCCCTCTCATTTGTAATGTTGGCTCAGCTGTGCTCTCCCGCCGTGATTTAACCGCAGGCCGTCCTGATGTCATGCGAGTGAATAAATGAAAACGTCAACTTTTCCATTTTAACGTCATGTGATTTCATGGCATCATGTATTTAACATGATTATTATTTAGGGAACACAAAAGACTCCCCGCGTCTCTAAGACTCCAGACAGCAGAGAGGCCGCATTGCCGACCGTTTCATCCCCTGTTGAGTAATTTGCGGAAATGGTTTTTTTTATTTGGTAAAATTCCCACTGCGACACCGGCACACAATGCTCTACCGTCTACCGAATAAACATCAGAGGATCTGCACCGTCCGCTGGTAAGCGGACGGCGCGTCGTACGTTCACGGTTGATAAACCCCGCAGTATTAACCAGGGCGGGCGTGTGCCTCCAACCACGAGCCTCGTTAGCAAGTGGCGAGCGCGCTGCCGCTCGGCCTCGTTGCACCGCAGCAGCAGCAACGTCCGACGCTCTTTTTACGGGCGCGGCTTTTACATGTTTATTCTACATATAGATGATATGCTCGCCGTCTCTCCGCAGCTGTTTGGCGACGTCTGCTACCTGTGCAACCGGGTGATCGAGGGAGATGGTGAGTAGCGGGCTCCGTCTGGTCCTCTCCGTTTATCACTGTGTGTGCGTCGAGCTTTTTTCGCACCTTTGTACGTCGACAGCCATGCTGATCGGAGGTGCGGGGGTGAGTGGGCATGTGTGTGTGTGTATGTGGAGAGCGGTAGTGTAGCGGTTAGCGTGTTTCGCTAAGAACCCGGGGACCCGAGTTCGATTCCCGGTCACGGCCAACATGTGACGATTATTTGAACCGGTCCTGGGCCTCCCCTAGGTCGACTCGGCCTCAAATTAGTACCTGGTGCGGTGTGTAAACATTGCCATTGAGGAGACAAAGGCGGTCGGGCGTGATGCTGGCCATCCACCCCCTCGTGTACCGTTCCAGCCTTCATAGGTACTCGCTAATAGCACTTGCCCCAACAGTCTGGTTATACGGGGAATCTTTGCCTTGTGTGTATGTTGAGTGGAGGTGCGTTCCGACTGCGTAGCGCCCAGAGACCGCACGGCGACTCGGGGCCTGTGCGGCGCGTCCCCGGCCTCTTGCATGTTGAGGTCACCACAAAGACTAAGATCCCCCGCGTAGCCTCTAACGGTCTGTTGGGGCAAGTGCTGTTAGCGATTAACACCTAACGAAGGCCGACACGGCACACTTAAGGGAGCGGGTAGACAGCACCAAGCCCGGCCGCCTTTGTCTCCCCCAATGCTAATGTTTACACCCTGCATCAGGTACTCATTTATGACCGAGTTGACCTAAGTGAGGTCCAGAACCCGTTCGGCGAATCCTCACCGATGTTGGCAGCGAGCCGGAATCAAACTCGGCTCGCCGGTTTCACAGCGCAGCACGCTAACCACTGCACCACCGCTCCATGCACACACACACATACACTCCCATCTGCCATCCACCCTCGCGTAACCCCAGGTCTCCCGTGGAGAGTTCCTGCGTCCTGTCCCTGTACATATTCCGCCGCTGATGTTGTCTGCGGTCGGGGATCGAACTCCGGTTGCGCGCGTGCTCGTCCGTGCGAGCGATCGAGGGCGGGTTCGTCGATGGGCGCCATAACCGCCGTGTTGTCTTCCCGCAGTCGTGTCGGCCCTCAACAAGGCCTGGTGCGTGGGCTGCTTCTCCTGCTCCACCTGCAACGCCAAGCTCACCCTCAGGTGAGCTTTGCCCACTGGCGCTCGCCACGCCGCGCCTCGTCCCCCCTCGCACCTCTCCCACTGTTCATGTTTCTACGACTGCCGCCACCTCCGGCCCCGTTTCCCGCGTGCGCGGTTTCCTCTCCGCCGTTTTGTCTCGGTTTTCGCGGCCACGTTTCTCACCTGTGTCTTCCGTTCTCGTTTCCCCACCCAAATCCGACCCCCCCCCCCCACGCCCCCCACGCACCGCGTCGCTCTACTCGCGCTGCTCACGAGCATCAGCTCGCTCCCTCCCTCCCTCGCTCTCTCTCTCTCTCTTTTTCGCCCGTACGCTGGCTCGCTCGCTCCCTTGCTCACTTAATTAATCGCCGGCTCACTCGCTGGCTGACACGCACACACACACACTATTAAACGCGCACATGCGGACACTACTCTGCACACACACGCACTTATGAACTCGCATACGCACGCTCTATCACGAGCGCGCACACGCACATAATGCACGCTCACGACACGGTCACAACGCATGCACGCGCACGCACACACACACGCACACACACACGCACGCACGCACATCCCCCGCCCATTGGCCTCGCCGACTCCACGGCCCCAGCACCAAGTTTGTGGAGGTCGACCTCAAGCCCGTGTGCCGCCGCTGCCACGAGCGCTTCCCGTCGGAGCTGCGTGGCCGCCTGGCGCGGCGCGAGCGCAAGGAGCGCCGCAAGAAGAAGGGCCGCCGCGACGGCTGCCTCTGACGGCGGCCGACTGCTCTGCGACCTTCGGCCTCCGCCGACCTGCCGGCCCCTCCCCCGCCACCGCCACGATCTGTTAGCGTGACCTCTCTTTGCGTGACCTCTCTTTGCTGTGACCTCTTTGCTCGCTCCTCCGCGCCAACCTCGATGGGCGACCAAGTTGTCAGGCCCTCTCTTTCCCGTCGCGCAAAGCGATCGCCGTGCTCGCCGGCTTCTCCTCCGTGCCGAACGTTCCCCGGTGGGGTTGGCCACGCATCCCAGTTGCAGGATCGTGGAGCTCGGGCAATTGTCAACAGTGGACAATGCGGATTTTGGAATTCTGTTGATATTCCCGACGTTGGGCGTCATTCCGCGTGCAGTTTGTATGTTCTCCGTCCTGTTCCACACGGATTTTCTCCGAATTCTCCGGTTTAAACTAAAACTATTTAAACTTTGTTTTTTTTTACCAAGGTCAGGCCCACTGAGCTATGCAGCTCTCTTTCAGAAGCGACCCGGCTATCACAAATGACAGCCCAACGAGAAGTGGCTTATCACGTGGAAATTTAGAGCAGCCAAATAATCTTAAATGCGTGCTTCTAAATGTGGAGTGAAAACCCGGAGGACCCGGAGAACAATCCACACGACCACAGCGAGAGAGACACGCAAACTCCAAATATACAGCAGGCGTCAGGGTCGGGACCGAACCCATGACCTCCTGTATACCAGGCGAGGTAGTTAACATCTAGCCACCACGGTGCCTGGTTTCCTCCCATAGCTAATAAAATATACATAGATCCACTCCAACCGGTATTGGTAAAAAACATTGCAAATACTCAAAAAAATTATCTGCAGTTTACTCAGTTGGGATTTCACACACAGCAACACTGCTCACCCCGCCTGCGAAAACTTGGCAGGACTCTCCTGAAAAGGAGTCGTGAGACTCGGCGAGACTGTTTTGGTTAAACGAGCAAAACAACAGTAATAGTTGCCTGACAGCTTGGTCATTTCATCATGGCCTTACATGTTTTTGCCATATTATTAGAATGTCTGTGATTTCTCAATTCCTAACACTGGCTTACACTCACCTTGCCGCTTTGCGTACGGATTACAGGGATTTCTGCTGCTCCATTGAGCTGCGTTCTGCAACCGTTCTCTCCGTACAAACTGATGAGAGTCGTCTGACCTTAACGATGAAGTAACCCCATGAGATGTAACGTCACTACGTGACCTCGCGCAATCCCAGCGAGGTTAAAGAGTGATTTAAAGGATCTAAGCAGCACGTTTGTTGGGTCAGATGGTCGTGTAAGTAGAATGCAAGTTGTATAATCTCTTCCACCCGACACGGCCAATTGAATGAAGTCGTCACTGTGAACACAAACGTGCCAACGCACGTTTGTTTTTTTAACCCTTTCCCGTTCAGAGACATCTACAAGTTGCAGGGTGTCCCGTTCACCACAGAATCTCGGAACGTGCCAGCGGTTGGCGTTAATTTTACGTAGAGAGGTGTATCGCCGTTGTTTTTAAAGACGTTGTGCTCACCGCAGAGAACCGTAGCGACACGACCGCACGCTATGATATCTGGCGCCAAACTGCGCTACACGCCCTCCCGCATGGCCTTGTGGGAGCCTCGGTACCAACAAAGTTATTTTATTTATTTTTTCTTCCGGTTCCGTTTTGATGACGTACGACATGATCGGAACAGAATCGGAAGAAAAACCAATGACGCGAAATGGTTAATTGGCCGTGTCGGGTGAAGGAGGGTGTACGACGCACGTTTCGCTCGCACAACGTGACCCGAATGACCGTGAATATTGTTCGTGAAAGCCGGCACGCGTGCTTGTTGATGTAGCCGCTAACAGATGCTCCCTTCTTGCGCTCCGATGTGACGTCACCTTTTTTGCATCGGGGGATTCGATTTAAGAGTCCGTTTCTTTAAAGGGGTGGTGGGTGTAAGCGCCGCCTTAGTGGCTTGCAGGCCGCACGGTGGCAAGGAAATGTTACCTCCCTCGCCTGCTATGCAGGAGGTCGTGGGTTCGACCCCAGACCCTGACGATGCCTGTTGCAGTCCCCGTGTTCTCTCTCCCCGTGGAGGTCGCGTGAATCTTTCTCTGGGTTCCGCTGATTTTGGACCCCCTCCACATTTAGAAACAACGTGCTGCGTTTACATGATTTGGCTGCTGTTACAAATTTTCACGTGTGATAAGCCACTTCCACGATGAGCTCTTGTCACGTGTGGCCAGGTCTCGCTTCTCCCTGAAATAGAGCCATTGGCGAAATGGGCCTTACCTGGTAAAATAAAATGGCTTATAGTTTAGTTTAAGGTATGTATGTTAAATTTCTTTCACACCGTACGTAGCCAACCATGCAAATCGGAGGTGCAGGGAAATAACAACAAACTAAACACAAAAATCAGTTCTAAAGAAATTAGTTTGCAATCTAGATGTAAAAGTGCATACCTCCAGTGGCTTCCTAATAAAAAAATAAATTGCCACATACACAAATTACTAAATGTTTATTCCTGCACGCGTAATTGGACGGCATCGTGCGTGAGAGAATCAAAGGATCGGGGCTTCCATTGCATGCCCAATAACAATGCCGTGTGATTGGTTGCGATGATTTTTCCGTTGACCGGAGTTTATTCTAAACACAACTACGCGCATGATTTTGAAAACCTGTGCAACGCCGGTGGGCGTTGTTTATTTAATGATTTCATGTTTGTGAGTCAGCGTAGAAATGGCATCTCAAATTGACGACGTGGCCCCAGGGGGAGCGCTGCCCCCGACTCGCTGCACCGGCCTCACGGCTTAGAATCCAGCGGCCACCCGGGTTCATTAAACGCCGTTCTGGTGCATTCACCATAAAATCACTCCGCGCTCTCCGTCTCACGGTGGACGTCAAAGACCTCCCCCCCCCCACCCCCCACGCTGACGTCGTTCGCGATGAGTCGGCCATCGTGTGCCGACGTCGTGGTCGAGATTTGTAAAAAAAAAAAAGATTTGTCAAATGACGCTGCAAATGACTCGACGGGGATTTCACTTCACGGTCATCGCCCCCCCCCCCCACCCTTTCTGGTAGACTAACGCCCACTTGGAGGCCGGTGCCGAGTCGCCGCACAGGGACAGCTGCCACCGGGGGTGCCCTTTCAATGTTTGAGATGCGATGGCGCCTTTGAGTCACTGAGGCATTTACGCAATCATTGCTACGAGTGTGCGATTATATTTTTTATATGTTAAGACATTAACCGTGAATGGGTTGTGTTTCTCCCTGATTGGCTCTGGCAAACAGGAACAAGTTTGTGGAGTTTGACATGAAGCCAGTTTGCAAGAAATGTTACGAGAAGTTCCCACTGGAGCTGAAGAAACGTCTGAAGAAGCTGGCCGAGGATCTGGCGCGCAAGTGATGCGGCACGCACGCACGCACACACCCGCGTACGTACGTACGTGCGTGACGGACCTGTGCGTTCCACACAGACACACACATAGAAACGAGTGTAACGCTTTTGTTTGTATGACTACACACACACTCGCACATACACGGCGTACGACTTACATGGGTGTGTCGCACCCGGTTGGCTACGTACGGCGCGAAAGAAGTTCAACATACACACATACGTCACATGCACGCGTGTACGCACGCAGAGACAAGTGTACATCCGTATGGCTACACACGCACGTGCCCGCACACTCCTGCCAGACGTGGCTTCTGCATGTCACACTGGTCCGTCGACAAGCACACACGCGTATGTTTGTACGTGCGCGCACACAAGTATAACTACGTTCATACGATTACACACACACATGCACGCACTCGCAGACACACACACATACAGCCGAAGTCTCGAACCACAGAAGCAGAGGCTTGTTGCCAAGCAAGCGACTATCCTCACCTCCCCGCTGGGCTGCCCTCTTACAACTTCACTCCCCAAAGCAAACGGTGCCTTAATGTTACCAGCGCAGAGATAATCGTCGCGCGTCTCTTTTCACCGCGTACCCCCGTTGTTGTTCGCGCCGCGCATTATCATTGTTTGGGGGATTTTTTTTTATATTTCGGCGAGAGCCACGGGCCGACTCCGTCGTGCCGCCCGTGCCGTCCGTGCCGTCCATGCCGTCCGCTCGCCAGAGGATTGTTTATTCTGCCGGCGTGGTGCGGTACGGGGCTCGCTGCGCCACCGCTGCCTCGCCACGGGACCGCGTCGTGAGCGTCTCAAGAGAGCGCCCTCCACGCTCTGTCCTCGCTACACAGGACACGGGGTTGTGATTGAAAGCTTTCTCAGGACTGGTCTTTGCGCGGGGGTGTTTCTACATCTGTCAGGTTGTCAAGGTGAACCTTTGCCTCTTATCGCATCGCCGCTCGTTGCGGAGATTCGCAGTTCGAAGCCAGCGGCCGCCCTGGTTGTTACTGCGGTGTGCGTTCACCGTAGAAATGCGACGTGCCACGTCCGCTTCACGGTTAACGTGACTTAAATCGCAAGAGTAAGCCATTGGTGTGCCGGTGTAGCGGTCGAAATTTGCGTGAAAAGTGACGCCGCAAATCAATTCGGTTGGAATCTCCGTAGAAATCCTTGCCACCTTCTGCCGACAACTTTGCAGGAGACGATAATAAATGAGAATGAAAATTTCTGATGCCAATGCAAAGCTGGTAGCCGGGTTGCGCTAGCCTGAGCTGCCTTCCGACAGCTGACCTCGGCAAAGAGCATCGCGCCGGCCAGTGCGGGCCCCGAGCGTGCAAGCTCTCCATGTCAATGGACGAGCGACTTCCTCATTGATGAGTGGGCGCTCCCCCTACCGCTCCCAGTGAAGGCGGCGGCAGCAGCGGCGGGGTTCAACTTCACCTGACAGACGGTAGCCGCATTAAAACCCAGTCCTGGAACTTGTCTTAATCAAAGCCTTCTTGTTTGCTAGCGCACACGCGCGCAGACGCACACGCACGCGCCTTCGCATCGATGCTCAGTTTGTAAAACACCGACATAGACGGATGCCGGTGGTTCTCTACGTATATATTCATTCATTCATACGGCAGCATACGAACAAATGATTAAGATGCGTATTTAGTTTGTTAGTTTTTGAATGATTTGTATTCCCTGAGTTACCCATGAAGAGTTTGGTAGATTTGTACTTTACTTGTAAGAGAGAGTACGGTCTAAGCAGTGCTTTTAAATAAATAAAGTTACGACGTAGTGTTGAATTAATTTGCTTTGGCGACGCATGATTATTACTTTGCAGAGAGAGAGAGCGAGCGAGCTGCCTGCTGTCGCTAGTGTGCTTTGACCACGACTCTATAGCTAATCATATCTTACCCGTACGTAATTCTATATTTTATATAAACTGCTTTCACAAGTGTGGAGGTCCGCACATTAATAAATGAATAAACGCAACTCCCCGTGCACGTTCCATTCGTACGCAGCGGCGCGCCAATCTCAGTAGAGGTCGGCTTGTGTACACGTGGCCGTACGACCCTCGTCTCTTCACATCATCACCGTCATCATCTAACATCATCACCGTCATCATCTAACATCATCATCATCATTGTCGGCATCGTCTGTTACATCTAAGGAGTTGCCACCTGACCCGGGCGGGGTTTGACCCACGCAGTCCGGGGAACATCTGTGCGTCAGGGGACTGCACCAATTGATCTGTACCGAGATCTGGTACCGGTGTGTTTGCCGCGTTGAACTTCACTGCGAAAATGCTGCAGCGCAGATTTGATAACAGCGGACCTCGTGCCGACCGAGTTTGATCGACAGTGGATGAAGGTGGCAACTCGAGTCACATGATCAGTATCGTCACACGAAGCGCCTTAACCCACGAGCCTTAGAACTCGCGGATACCGGGAAGATCCACGGATCGATCCTGGGTGGCAGATAATTGAGAGTGTGAGTGATATGACAGATAAGAGAGGTTTCACTGTATATCTGTGTTTCTGTGTGTACACTTATTTACAATGTGTACACGAGGTGGTGGTGCTGCTTAATTTGAGGGCCCTGAGCAGATATAATTCCCCCCCCCCCTTCAATGAATATAAAATCCAAGTGGGATGACAGAAGAGATCTAAACAAGAGTTTGAGATGGAGTGAGATGGAAGTAGACAATGCAGAGATATAGTGAGATGAGCAGAGAGATGGAGTTCCAGGGTTTGTCAATCATCCGAAGCCTTCGTGGGTTTTCGTGAGCTCTGCCGGTTTTTGGATCGTTGACGTCATCAGCGGTGATTTACACCGACGAAGAGAAGTGCAGCGCCGTCCTGTTTCCACGTTATGAATAAGATGCTGTGGTTTAGTGCATCGGGGGAACGTTTGGCTCTCCAGACAAATATTACCAAAAGCAGCTCTGGTCGAGGAGAGCAAACTCTGGGTCCGGTGTCTGCCTCCTGGGTCTCATCAGCACAAACAAAACGGTGTTCTGCTTCTACTGTATTTGCCTTTACCCGTGACGTTCCATGTTACGGTCTCGTGCGTCGCGTCGTTATAATAATAGTGATGATCATTTAGTTTTCGATCGCTCTTGAAGTGAGAGAGAAAATGATTGAGAGGTGTGAGACACCACAGACGAAGCAGGAAGGGCAGCCGGAACAACTGGCACGATTGCCCAAACTCTGTGGTCCCATATCGGGGTGTTTTTCTGGCCAGCTCCGTTATTGGAGGATGCATCACTGCCACCGCGTGCCTTGAGGCTGGCGAGGCGGCTCGGCAGCGGGCTTCCTCGCAGGACGAAGCGGAGCCGCCGCGGTATCGCTGACGCCCGCCCCAGCAGGCGCGGACGGAAAACCAGAACCTGACGAAACGGTGAAATTTGTTCATCTCCGTGACCACTATCTCGTGATGTGACGCGCACGCGCTCGTGTTACGGTTGAGCCTTTGTTCTGGCAAACGACGCGAGCTTTGTACGTCGAGGAGTTCCCAAGAGTAAAATAAATGTCACTGTAGTCCACGTGCGTGTGTCCCCGTGTGCGTCTCTTGCTGTCCATCGTTTCTGCTTGTAACATTTTCCCGACCTATCCATCCATTTCTAGCCCTCCTCGATCCCAAGGGTTTCCTGTGAGGTGGACTATCCTACACCGCAGGGCCTCTGTCATGGGCAATTCTTGCGAGTTGTGCCATACCGACAATCTAAAAAGTGTCTTAAATATCGATGGTCTATCCACACGTGCCCGATGAAATGATCCCGATGCTGCCGCCACCGCTCAAAACCTCGCGGTCTTGCGATTCGTGGCACTCTGGCACAGGGGCTGATCCTTCCACTCCGTCTCCACGGTGTTCGACCTCGCCTTCGTGGCTGCCACCGCCAGTGTCGTCCGTCGGCCACCGTCCCTTCTCGCCATGATGTGTCCTCAACGTTACTGTCGCTGTGCGGTGGTGGCTATCGACGGGGCCTATAATCCAGCACTGGAGGTGGGGGTTGGTCACGCACAAATGATGTTGAAACTCCCTTCTCGTGTGTCTAGGTGCCGTGGTACCCTGCCTTGCCGGAAGGCGGTACAGCAAGTGTGGACTCATTTCTGGCTCATCCTTATGGGATCGAGTGTTACCCCCTTCGCACACGTGGGTTTTCTCCGGGTGCTCCGGTTTCCTCCCACGTGTATATTCTCATGAATTGGCCAATAACATCTTCATGCATAGAGGATTGCAGAGCTTGAAGGAGGGCGGGGAGAGACGTCACCGTCTCACCGCGTGGCCGCTGTTTTTCCCGCTTGTTTGCGATTCCTCCGCACGCCCTCCGAGTCATTCTCTCTCTCAGAGAGCCAACACTGCGCGGCAAGTCGACATTATCAAGTCCGCGCGCGATGTCTCAAAATCAATTGTGATTTGCAGCGGCGGTGTTTTTAATTACAGAACCAATTGTTGCCTCTCTGATGTGCGCATTCAATGCTCCATTACGGGAGGTTGTCATTTTTGTTTATAATTTCCAACAAGTTGTAATAATATTAATAATAGGACCCAGGACAGCCTCAAGGAGCCTCAAGAATATTGTTTCAACAACAATTCACAGAGGAGGCTCGTGAAGGACGTTACTGGGCAGTTGGAGGTAGTCGCCCTCCAACAACAACGGAGGGCGGAGGAGCAACGCTCACAACAATGAGCGGAGCACCGGGTGGCTAAAGCACAGCGAGTTGGCACAGTAGGGGGCACAGGTGGTGCATCAGCCAGTCATCTCGGTCATCTCAGTCAGTCGACCCGTGGCACCTTGCTGGATCTGCCCCGTGACCTCCTGCCAGCGGGCGTTCGACACTTCACGTGGCCTCAAGGTGCACATGGCCTGGCACAAGCGTCGTGGTGACGTCACCGCCACTTAGTGGCGAATGGCGGTTGTTTTGTGTGTTTGTGTGTTTTTACCAAACAAAGTTTTAGGAAGTGAAATGTTTGTCGGGACTAAGGAGCCGCTTCTGATGTACATGTGGCAATGATGAGTTATAAACTAGAAACTATTTTTATTTTACCAGGTAAGGCTCACGGAGCTACGGAGCCCTTTGTCAGAAGTGACCTGGCCACAGCTGACAGCTCAACCAAGCCGGCTTATCACTGCGTGGACATTTATAGCAGTAGCCAAATAGTCTAAACGCGTGGTAATGGTGATTATACATGTGGAGAGGAGAGAGACACCGCAAAAGCCAAATAGACAGCAGCAGCAGGCATCAGGGTCGGGATTGAACCCACGACCTCCTGCACACCAGGCGAGGTAGTCAACATCTCCCGGCCACCGTGGCGACCCCAATCTCTCGGGGGGGGCGAGCGGCTTTGGTTTGGGATGTCACCCGCGCTCACCGCCAACGCAGCAGCTCTTTAGTTAATTATTAACCAGGGGCGTGGTCATGCTAATTAACATCAGTGAAGGGGCGTGGTCATGCTAATTAGCACAGGGAAGGGGCGTGGTTATGCAAATTAACATCAGGGAAGGGGCGTGGGTATGCAAATGAGGGCTGCCGGGCGGTGACGTCACGCGCACTCACGCGCCTCGTGGTCACGTGGGCCGGGTTTTTTTTTATTGTTTGGCGACAATGGCGGAGGAGACGGAGGCGCTTCTGAGCGCCGGCGATGGCGGCAACGAAATCGGCCCCGACGGCGGCGACGACGAGGCGGCGCTGTCCGGCTGCGGCGCCTCGCCGCTGTGCAACCCGCGGCGCACGCCCCATCGCTTCGTGGTCCTCGTCTTCATGTGTTTCCTGGGCTTCGGTATAAGAGCGTTTGCTCGCGTTTACAATTGGTAGCGCGCATGCGCTCCCGCCGCTCGTGATTGGCTCGCGGGATTCAAAACAAACCCGCTCATAGGTCGGCGTCAATCACGTGGGGGCCGGAGCGTTAACCTGATTGGTTGGGAGTGGGGACGCGTGCTTATGCGTGCTATGAAATGTAACCCCCCTTCCGTGCGTGGATAATTGCAGTGATTTTTTTTGTTGCTTAAAGGAATTGAGGCAACGACCTCGCTTGCACCGAGCCGCGTGTGTGTCGACTGTAAGCCAAGCGTTCGATCAACGCAAGTCGAATTAACGTGGCGCCGCTGCGATAATCATAAAGCAGAAGTTCTGGTTTCAACACTTCCCTAGTTGTCGCGAGTTCCCGTTGGGAGCAAGGCTAATAGCCGCATGTGGCCACCCCACCGCTGCGTGAAGGCCTCTAGGCCACCTCGCCATCATCGCCGTCCACCCCGCGGCCGCACGCACACGAGCACATTCCGTCGTTTTGGCGGACGGGCGAGAGGCCCCTTGGATGCGGTCCGTTCCTCGCCGCCGGGCCCTCCGTGATTAGTCTGAAGCTCTCGCGTCCCGTCCTGCTCGGCCACCCACTTCTCTCTCACTTCTCACCAAGATCCATGGATGTCGTGAGCCCGCGTGTGTTCACAATCCCTGGGCCCCTCTGTCTGCCCATCTACGACTGCCTCTCCTTGTACCTTGGTCCACTGCGTTCCCGCCATCGTTGTCAATGACCACGTTGCTGAGCGATATGTCGCAGCGGGTAAAGCATGTCACTGATTTTAAAACAATGTTTGGTGTTTTTTTGTTTGCTACGTTGATTATGTTACCTTTTTAATCGATTCCTCAACAATTGCCGGAGGGGTACAACTGGAGTGGCAGCACAAGGAGGGGGGACACGTCCAAGAGGACACGGCGGGGCCGTGTGGGATGGCGAATGGCTTTGCCGGTGTCCTTGTGCAGTTTCAGAATATTGATCCTGGAGAAATCCGATGAGCTGTGAAACTCTTTCTTACATGTCCAGTAGGGGCGGGTGAAGAAAGTTACAGGCGACAAACAACGCAAAAGAGGATATGAGTGCAAAGTGTAGGAAAGGTGCGCAGATCATTAAAGATAAATACATAACATAGGTAAAGACTATAAGTTCAAATAGCGTAAGTATAAGATGTGTTGGGTGGGCGAGGAATGTTGGCTTTAGGCTCGCCAGGAACGTCTCCTTCGTGGCTGCTGTGAGCTCAGTACTTCTGGCTGCTGCCCATCGAACAAAGGCGGTGGTCACCGCATCGCGCGGCGCTTTCAGATGCGCTTCTGCGGCCGTCTGGAACGCTCTTCCTTACGATATTTGGAAGCCACTGGAGCTACGTACTTTGAAAAAGAATTTCTTAAGAACTGCCTTTTTTGTTTAGTTTGTTGTCCTTCCCCTGCCCCTCCGATTGGTACGGTACGAAAGAAGTTCAGTATACTGTACATACAAACGTGTACAGTACGCCAGGACAGAAAGGAGTGCTCTCCCACTGATTTTTACTCCGTGAGGCTTCAGATCTTGAATACAATCAAGGAACTGGAGGTGAACTCGTGACACGATACCCCAAGGACATCAGTGTTCTTGATGTTTGTTCACTATATTTCGAAATGATGCCTGTAACCATGTGATTCTTTAACGTACACAATTTGAGTGGCGTCTTGCATAATCTCTGCACTTAAGGCAAACCAGGGAGCTAATGAGTAACCACAAGTTTGCAAATCATATACCGTTAGCACAGATACATAAGTTAATGGATGTGATATCATGATGGGACATTTCCCCCCAAATATATGTCGTGTTGTAAATAAGGCTGTTGAATGGTGAGTGGCAATCACGCCGACATATATACAAGCCTTTTCTTACCCAAGATGAACAACAACACTATTAACCTGTTATAAATGTGCGATTTTTTCCCCCTCTTAGGAAGCTACTTCTGTTATGACAACCCAGCAGCCCTCCAGACGCAGGTTATGCAGGTAAATATTTTGTTTTTACAATGTCCAACTGGGGTTGAAATTGTTTAGGCATTGACGCTACAGGGTTCCCTTGATTTACGGATGGGATGCGTTCTTCAAAAACACACGCGATTACAATGACATTTCGGAATTGGAATGGCTTTTCCCATTAATTGAATACTAAAAATAAGGGATGTGTTTTGAGCAGTCATTCCAACTCTACTCCTAACCTAAAAATATACACCACGTACGGTGCGAAAGAAGTTATAATACATAGTGTTTTAATATAAACTGGTTAAATCGATAAAATCAATAACTAAAACTTTGAAACAAACTAGAGCAAAAAAGACCATTTGATAATTAAATACAAATGCTCTTTGGTTCTTTCGGTAAAGTCACGTAGATGAAAAAGAAAAATAATGAAATGAAAATAACTAATTTAGTTATTTTCATTTTATTATTTTTCATCTACGTGACTTTACCGAAAGAACCAACGAGTATGGATCCTTGCAGTCACGAAAACTTCAAATCTAGAATAAATACAAATGCATGTTGGAGCTACATATTCCCATTGCACTGTTAGTATATGAAAGGCAACACGGGGGATTTTGTTTTGTGCGTGCATATTGTATGTGTGCTCACATTGGCCTGCGTGCGTGCTAGGACATGAAAGTGAACACCGCCTCCTTCATGCAGCTCTATGCCTGGTATTCGTGGCCCAACGTGATTCTCTGCTTCTTCGGAGGCTTCCTCATTGACCGCGTTTTTGGGGTCAGGTGAGAATCGCCATGAAAGGAACCCACATCCCCTGCTGCCCGTGTCCCCCCGCAGCTTGCCGTCACGTCTCTTTCCCTTACTTCTTCCACATCGAAAGAGTTTGCTTCTTTTCCCAATGTAGTTTATTTCAGAATACACAATTACGATCAACAGAATGTCACGAATGGCCTGAGCTGTACTTTGAATATGTTTGTATAACCTTTGTCGCATATGATTTACCTTGATGTTTATGTTGCCTTTACTCGGCCTGTTTTCTTTATCACGACCACAGTCTGTCAACATCCCAGTTGACTGCCTCGTTCAGCATTTTATTTTTCATCCACTCCGCCACTTCTCCTTCACCACCATTGTCATGTGATGTAATTTGTACATTTGTCTAAAGCAGGGCTGGGCAACCTATGACTCGTGGCCACATCAGATCTACCACTTAGAAATAGCTTGCAAACGTAACTTATCCATCGCCGCAAGCATCTTTGCTGCACGATCGGGTCAAGAACAGAATATGTTTTGACCGTGCAGGACTGCGTTTATAATTCTAGCATGCCCCAGTCCCTTCTGTCAGGGAAAAGGCCAATTTATGCTCGGTCAACTTGCACATTAATTTTCATACTACATTTGGATAACAGGCACGTGTGTGTTTTTTTCTCCGATGAGCACGGTTGGCTACGTATGGTGCGAAAGAGGTTCCCCATATAAATACATAACCAAGTGTAATTCCAAGCATGCATGTCTCCATGCTTCTTTGCATACTCTCTTGAGTTTTGTTCCAGTTTCCACGTCGGCTTCGTTGTTTCCAATCTACCTGCCATAGCAGACAATGTCCACTGATTGAACACTTCTCTCAGTGCATTGGTTCGCTGCTTTTCATGGCAGTCTATTTTCAAATCTTGATGCGAGTGTATTTTAATTCTTGTTTCTTACGATGAATTTTATTTTATATATTTCAGTTATTTTCCGAACATCAACGTAAAACAATTTCTAAATTAAATTGTCGTTCTCTCACAGGCTTGGAACAATTATCTTTGGCCTCTTTGTCTTCATTGGCCAGGTGAGTTCAGTGCCCCTGACAGCGATCGCATTGTGTATTCAAACACAGATTCTTTAACTTTTATATAAAAACAAATGCATTTCCCGCAGATTAACAGTGTTGATCTTATCTCGTCACGTCTTTGCGACCGCTGCAGATCATCGTTGCTGTCGGAGCGTTTACCGATGCGTACTGGCTCATGGAGCTGGGAAGATTTGTCTTTGGGTAAGTGTGCTCATGAAGGGTGTCCTGGTGCAAGAAGCATCTCAAAAAGGAAAAGTATTTTCTAGATTTTTGACACCTTTTTGCCAGTATCAAAATGATGAAAAATAAGAAGAGGCTTTACCCTTTCTGGAAATAAACCAGGAGGTGTTAAGATGTTCAAACGCCAAATAGACACATTTCGCAAGGAATCAAGTCTCCATGAACCACATGGTAGTTGTGAACATGCAAACAAACATTCTCTGATAATGTATTCGTGCTCTGCGCTCTGTCACGTGTCTGAATTTCACAGTATCGGCGGGGAGTCTCTGGCTGTGGCTCAAAACACGTACGCGGTGAACTGGTTCAAAGGCAAGGAGCTGAACCTGGTGTTTGGTCTGCAGCTCAGCATGGCTCGATTGGTATGTTTGTGCGAGCTGCTCTTTGTATGCCGGTTAGCAGTGAGACTCAAAACGTATTTGGCCAGCCTTGGAACCACCACAATAAATCCAGAATGGCAAGTTAGAATCGTGATGTATGTGTGCATGTTGATCTTTCGCACCGTACATAGCCAACAGTGCTAATCGTAGGTGGTAATGTGTTGCCAATGCTGTGGTGGACATGTGGACCTTTATGGGGACAAGACTGATACGATACAATCTTTGTAGTGCCACGCGTGAATGTGTATATACATCGTTTTTGTATAACATCTTTAACAACTAACAACAATATTTATTCGTGCTTAGGACATCCGTGCCATTCTTTACACCAATGGGTAGCCTGCCAACAGGGAGCGATGGGGCGTTTTTGGTGTGGATCCGAAGATCCAGAATGGCAGTGAATGGCATCTTTTTTCCAAAGTGAAAAAACCAACTTCTCACCCCAAGCTTTTGATGCATTGATACTTGCACTGTCTTTGTCCTGTTGGCCTTTTGGTGTTGTTCTCTGGTCTCACACTGGTGAGACAAGGCCATGCAGAAGGCTGTCTCTGGTGTAGGCCAATCAAGACAATGCTGAGATATTATCAGAGCACGTTTGTTTGCATGTTCACCACAAGTACGTGTGGTTAATGCAGACTGGATGCCTTGCAAAAGGTTTCTGTTTGGTGTTTCAACATCTTCACACCAGAAAGTATAAAACCTCTTCTTATTTTTCGTCATCAGGGGGCGATGTTGCTCTTTGGTTTTGTCCAATGAAGTACTGTCTATGGATGATACCTCTGCACGTCAAGTATATATTCAGTGCTGAGTGAGTGCTGTAAATTCAAATGATGTCTAATCTAAATCGGGATTTTTTTAATGAAATGGTGACACCTTTAATGGACACCTTCTATGTGTTTGCTTCTGCCTCCAGGGAAGTACAGTGAACATGAATGTGATGGGCATTCTGTACAACAAAGTGGCACAGACGTATGGGTCGGGTCACTCCTGCCTGGGCATCTCTCTCATGATCGGTAGGTGGTAGGCCATGCATCCCACCCCCCGGTTTTCTTCCAAGCAGCACCATCCAATGGCAAATCAACCTTTCTTCGCATTCATAACGGCTCCACATTGAACCAACAACACGCGTTTCGAGTGACGTTGCTGTTTGATTGCACGCTCCTGTTGCACTCAGGTGTGTTTTCAAAGACCCAGAATGACTGAATGCCATAATTTTTCCAATGTGAAAAATCAACTAGGTTTGAGCATGGGGATTAAAGAGAGAATGCACTTCACAAATGTTTAACCAGTCTTAACATTTCCTGATAAATTGGAGATGGGCAATGCTGGGATTTTTCTATTGGACTTTGTGCTGCTGCTATTGTAAAGCACCATTTCACCCAACACTGCTGCTGCCGAATGTGATGTGTGGGGTGTTGTTTGTGCTTGGATCTCCCTTCCCCCAGCGATCCATGCCATCGACTTCCTGCCTTCGCTCAAAACCTTCATTTTATTTCCTCAGTCTGATTCACTGCCTTATTACATCAAATAAATACGCCCATTGTTTTCTGTACAACGGTCTCATTTGAGATGGTACATAAATGCACATTGTATTATATAGACTGACACAGAGAGCCACAGAATTAGAGCTACAGACAAAACACAGAGGGCCTATATATGCAGACAAACTCATGAACTTACACAGACCCACAATTTTGCACAGAAAGCAATAGAATCCCGCAGAGATCAATAGACTCACATAGAGACCCCATAGACTCATATAACCAACATGGGCAGGGGGTTATGGAGTTTTTCAAATCGAGGCTCCGAGTCTTCCTTTCTTGTCCGCTAGCCAACTGCTTCTATAAAATAAATACTGTTTTCCTTACGGCGTGTTATGATGCGGTCCCATTTTAGACCCTACAAAAAAGAACGCGTTTGTGTTGCCTTGTGTTTGTGATATTGCGCCAGCGTCAGTCACCTGCCTCTTCTCGCTGGCGTGTGCGCTCATCCTGGGCTTCCTGGACAAGCGTGCCGAAAAAATCCTGCACAAGGAGCAAGGCAAAACAGGTGGGCTGCACTGAGCTGAGGTTAAATGTAATTGCGTCAAATATAAATCATGGCAGGAGATGGATGGTGCCGTGGTGGCGAGATGTTAACTACCTTGCCTGGTATTTTGGAGGTCGTGGGTTCAATTCCAACCCTGATGTCTGTATATTTGGAGTTTGCATGTTCTCCCTGTGGTTGCGTGGATTTTTCTCTGGGTCCTCTTGTTTTTCCTCGACATTTTGAATCGGCATGCATTTAGAGTATTGTGCTGCTGTAAATTTCCACGTGATAAGCCACTTGGTTAAGCTATCATTTGTGATAGCTAGGTCGCTTCTAAAAAAGAGCTACATCGCTCAGTGTGGGCCTTGCACGGTAAAATATATTATTTTTTATAGTTTATATAACCCATTAATTTACAGAAAACACTTTTAACACATTCGTTAATAACAATGTCTTAAAAATAAAAATATATCAATTTCGTTTTGGGCAATGGCCCTTCTTCACAAATATGCAGATGGGACAATTACCCCACACATAACCCCAGCACAGCCTTATGTGGTGGCTGGCATCGCTTGAACGCCCGCTGTGTCGTGCAGGAGAGGTGGTGAGGCTGACCGACGTCAAGGACTTCCCAGCATCGCTCTGGATGGTCTTCATGGTGTGCGTCGGATATTACGTGGCTGTTTTCCCATTCATCGGCCTAGGGAAGTACGTACTCCAAGAGCACACCCCCCCTACCCCCCACTGCCACCGCCTGCCTCGTAACATTTTCATCGTCAAGAAAGCAAAGGACTTCGTTGGCAGTGGCGTACAAGCTTAAATAAAGAATATCATATTGTTTGTGAAAGCCTAATGATTAAATATACAAATTGGATGATGTAATGTTCTCCAACGGTGTCTTTGGAACTATTTCATTATCGATATGAAAGCCGATGGGCAAGCTGTGTAGGGCAATACATTTGCATGTTTGAGAGCGAAAACAAACCATTGGATTTTGTCAACAAGTTTTGGGCAACCCCTTTGATCAATGAGCAGTGACCAACGTGGTGAAGTATGGCCAAACGACCCCCGTGGCCAACACGACATGGAGCGACCTTCACCCAACAGTGGATTGACACAAAGGGCTGTAAATATTGTACGTGACGTGGGGGATGGTATTTATTTTATGTCACCCTGTGAAACCTTTAGGAGACCACGATAGTTTTGTTTCCAAGAGTAATCTTAGCATTGCTCCCCTCATTACTGATTCCCTCCCCCCCTTTTTGCTGAACGTTTTTAGAGTTTTCTTTGAAGAGAAGTTTGGCTTCAGTGCCCCCAGCGCAGGAGCAGTAAACAGGTAAGACCCTGGTGAAGGTAATTTGTTTATTTGTAATTTCACTCGTGTATCATGACGACTTTAACAATGTTGTTACATGTTTGAACTGGACAGGTGGCTCCGCTCATAGCACTGAATCAGGCACTGCTGAGATCCTGGGTTTCAAATCCAGACAGTCCCCTTGGGTTAAACCAGATTCTCGCGTGCAGTGAGTTGATGGTCTAAGTCCAGTCACCAATAACTACACACATATACCAGTCCATCGCGTAAAGTCTGGTTATGCACTTCATTTTGGCAAAATTCCAGCTTTGGGAATTAAAAATATTAGTTTGGCTGTCATGCGACGAACATGACTGATGTGGCGGAGTGGGTGGGAAAGTGTTGCCCCATCCTCTGTGGACCAGAATAGCTCTTGAGGGGCTCTCAAAGGTAGCTCTTTGATGTCTGCTTTTGTGGGCCATTCCTGACGAGAAGGGTCGCAGTGCTGTGCGAGAGATGGAAATGGAATCTCGTCCCGTGACACCGATGCTGATAGCGCAATAGGGATAGCATTGTGGGGTAAAAAAAAGAGGTTAAAGTAAATGCATGAATATTCGTCACTTTTCTACGATAGCTTTTTCCAAACAATTGCATGTGCATATCGTTTTCTATACGTGGCCTGTATTGTGTGTCTTTTGCATATCTTCATAAGCACATGGTATTTGTTTACCTTTCCTATTCTGTGCACTCCTATCGTCTCTTTGTAACGTTCTGACCTGCCCCTACTGGACACCTGTGAAAAAGAGCTTTATAGCTCAACGGATTCCTCCAAGAAAATACATATTCAGATTCTGTATCTGTTGGCTATCTATTTATCTGTCTTGTGTATGTGTTTTGAGTTATAGTCCTTGTTGCGTGCTTCTGCGTCTTTGTGTTGCGTTGACGTGCAGCATTGTGTACGTCATTTCGGCCCCCGCGTCCCCCGTGCTGGGGTTCATGGTGGATCGCGTGGGCAAGAACATCCTGTGGGTGCTCGTGGCCGTGTTGGCCACGCTGGGAGCTCACGTCATGCTCGCCTTCACCTTCTGGAATCCTTGGATCCCAATGGTGAGACCGCGTCCACACTCGTTCTCACACGCAAGCATGGCACTCTTATTCTTTCGTATTGCCTATGAAGAGCAGCGGTGAGAGATCCAGATGCACGTGATTGAGCCGTGCAATTGCTGTCCTGAGAGTTTGTGAATTGCAAACACCCCCCCACCCAATGACTTTGGGATCTATATTTGGGTGGGCGTGAAGTTGTGTACGGTCCTTGAGGGGTGGTGTTCGTCGCGGCAGGCACACAGGAGAGTACACACACCAGTGACAGACTGCATTCCACATTGAGCTGGAGAGCTGCCACAATATGGCAATATTACGATTTATTGTACGATTATAAACTCCGTCGTAATCTTTTCATCCGTTTAGCAAAATATGGATGGGTGACCTCCATTCATAAACAGAATGCTACGGAGCCACGTGGTGGCCAGCGCATTGGAGTTAAAGCGATTGTTGTGCTTAGGATAAGAACAGGATGTCTCATTTGCAAGAGTGACCTGGGGGATTAGTCTGCCAGTAAGGTGCAATGATTGCTACGTACATTCCCAATTGAGTAATTTTAAATTTTGTGAAATTTGATCCTGACGCCAGCACTTTTACTCATGGCGACAGCAGAGCATCTTTAACGTCCACTGTGAAATGCCATTGCCCTAATGCATGGTGTGTGTCTTCCACGCAGAGCCTGATGGGAGTGGCCTATTCCCTACTGGCGTGTGCGCTGTGGCCGATGGTGTCGTTTATTGTGCCGGAGCACCAGCTTGGGACAGCCTATGGATTGTGAGTGTGGTGTTGGGATGTCGGTGTGATTTTTAATACTCTAGTTTGTACGATTTGAACACTATAAACGGTAACTCTGGTTAATTTCATGCACAGTACCGAACTGTAAAGCTAAGCAGAACGTGAGCCTGGATAGTACTTGGATGGGTGGGCACCGTGGGCAAGGGGCAGGCCTAGTAGGCGTTGGGGGCAGTTGAGGGGTCATTGCAGGAAAATCGATTGTTCGACATTCCCCACCACCACCTTAAGCTCTCTGACCAGCGTGGTAAAGTACGGTCAAGTATGTCTGACAGCCCGCAAGGCGTGGGGAAGCCCCTCATCTAGCATTGGATTGAAACAAAATTGGCAGTACGTGTAAATGATATCGCAGTACTCGTCATGTTGCAGAACTTTTATACGGGGGTTGTGTGTCGTATCACGAAAAATGTCTTCTCGCTGTAAACTGTTGGGATTGTTTTGACAATCGCGCGTGCCTTGCTGCTGCAGCATGCAGTCCATACAGAACCTGGGGCTGGCGGTGATTGCCATTGCTGCTGGCTCCATCCTGGACTCGAGCGGATACCTCTTCCTGGAGCTCTTCTTCTGCATCTGCTTGTGCTGTGAGTCGCGCCGTCGAGCCGTGTGGGTGGCCAGCGCGTCTGTCGCACGCGTGCAGGGTGCAACGCGTGCAGGTTGCAACGCGTGTGGGGCACAATGCGTGTTGGATAGTGTTGCACAGAATCTATATATGAGCGCGCCATCAACCCGCCCATCTAAGTTCAATTCCCGGCCACGACTAAACGCGACAGTGGCTAGTGACATCCAAACCCCAACTCGCAATGACCGTGCGTGGTGAAGTATGGTCAAACAGCCTTCGTGACTAACACCGCATGGGAGCGGCCTTCATCTAGCAGCGGATTGGCCGAGGGTCTGCTAGTTAATAAACTGCTCTTGGCTTGGCTTTTAAAGTCCCGAGTGGATGCGGTCGGACCAACGTTTTCTTTCTCTCTCGTGTTGTAATGCCTTTCCCTTTGTCTTCCAGTTGCCTTGATCGCCACTGTTCTACTCTACCTGATCGACCTGATCAGAGGTGAGCATCTGTGCACACACCTAATGACCGGGGGGGTGGCAAACTCTCCTTTTCAGAGCGCCCAATAGGACTTTAAAGTTCCTTTTGAGGAGCCACACATTAAAAAAACACCTTCACTGTGCTTTGTGTTTAGTTTGTTGTCCTTCCCCCGCACCTCCGATCTGCACGGTTGGCGATGTACCGTCCGAAAAAAGTTCACCACATTAACGTGTGTGTCAACCTTGTAGTGACAGTAGTGACTTGAGTGTATTAAAATTAGCAACCACAGGTTGCCAGGTGAAATTCCCCTCTTGCACACCGATGAGGGCAACTAAGATGCTTGCATATCGATGGGACGCTTTTGCCAGCATCAAGATATTGAATTTTAATGTAAAATACATAAATACAGCTGGTAAGATGTTCAAACACCAACAAGGCATCAAGTCTGCAGTAACCACATGTGCTTGGGGTAAAAAATGCAAACAAATATTTCCTTGAAAATATATGCGTTGTCCTTGCAACTTATTGACCTTCACCAGTTTCAAGAAGAGTGCATACGTTATCAATGCATATTTGTGCCTTTTTCACACCTTACACAACAAGGGTCAGGATACGGGGTTTAAAAAAAAGGGGATACGGAGTTTAAATGTTGCGTTCTTACGTGCCACCATTCATAGTTGATGCACTCAATCGTCCACCGTTTACTTTAATTGTGCACCTCCGATTAGCACGGTTGGCTACGTACGGTGAGAAAGACGTTCAACATGTTTTTCCAATTTTTATTTTACCAGCTAAGGCCCACTGAGTTGTGTAGCTCTTTTTCAGAAGCGACTTGGCTGCAAATAATAGCTCAATGAAGTGGCTTATGTGGAAATTTATAGCAGCCATATACTCTAAGACGCATGGAGGAAAAAAAACGGTGGACCCAGAGTAAAATCCACACAACCACAGGAAGAGTGAGAACACGCAAACCCCAAATTTACATGCGTCAAGGGTCAAGATCGAACCCAAAGCCTCCTGTATATGAGGCAATGTAGTTAACATCTCGCCACTGTGGCGAGAACATACTTCACAATAACACCGGCTCCTGCAACTACGAGATTCCATGCGTGTGCCGGCTACGAGATTCCATGCGTCTCCGTTCACCGGGTGGGTTGCCGTGCGCTGCGCCGCCGTGTGCCGTGTGCCGTGTGCAGACGGCGGCCTCAACCTCTCCTCCAGGGAAAGAGACAAGAAACGGGAGCTCGATGCGGCTGAGTGAGTACAACGTCTCTGCACGCGGTGCCACCAGTTGCCACGCACAGCATCCCCCAGCACAGAACAACACTTTGTATAGACTCTGTGATGTGCTTTTTGACGTGAAAAAAAATACATTGTGCTTTAATGAAATAGTCATTGCTGCTCTCTTATGAGCTCAATACCAAATGTTAGTTCGTCTTAACTATGTAGTAGTTTGTGGGAAGTGATTAAGCGTTTGGTTCTTGCGCTGCGCTATGAACATGGCAACTCGAGTTGGGTGCCCAGCCCATGGCTAACATCGGTGACCAGTGATATCTGAACTGGTCTGCAAAACCATGTTAAGTTAGCAATAAAGAAAAATGGGTACACATGAGTTACCATCAACGCACCTAGTATATTGACGTAGGTGCTTTTGCATCTTTATACGTACCATTAAAAAATGTGTTCAATCTCACGAGTTCCAATATTGGAGCGTCTACTAACGCATATTGCATGCCGACTTTAATTTATCGTGGCAGCCCCACTTTTGAAGGCTGACTAATGCAGTGCGATGCCCTATTTGTGTACGGCCTGCGTCCTGGCAGTAAATGACACCATTTATTTCCTTGCTGGCTGTTTTGCAGCTGAGCGGAATATCCGGCGATGCCCCCGTCTATATGTGAGAGGCATCTGGGACGACTTCTTTAACTTCTGCCGCTCTCGAATCTGGCTTTCGCAGCTTTAGGCTTGGCACGCTCTGTAAAAAGAAATCTTGCTTGGCAGATGCGCGCGCTTCTCCCCCGCTTGCAGTAGAATCAGCATGGCTGCCGTTTTACTTTCGGCAGCGACAGATCGGGGGTGGTCCCCGCTTGTGCAATTTTAAGATGTAAAATTTGTGATTTTGTTTGTTTATTTTACTTGTAGAGATAATCCTACTGAGATACAAAAACACTTTTTTTCTAAGCGCTTATATTTTAAGCAAAAGCAATGCTTGGCTCGCTCTTATTTTATAATGGCACTAAATCTATCGGCGTGGAAAAATATAATATTCACATTACTTATTTTTTTTTCTATTTGCTTTCTTACCTGTGTGGCTCTCGTGCGGCTAAGGTAGTGGGGTATGCAGGTTCTGTCGGGCGCTTTGCTTGCTTTTAATGCTCTTGCTGAATTTATTTACACCGCTGGCACACAGTGTTAGAACAACTCAATTTCTGTAAGTATCTGCATCCAGCAGTTCTCTTGGGCTGGACATCACAGTGGGTTCCGCGTTACAGCAATCAGAGGAACCAGGATCCTCTCCTTGTCACATAATAAGTGGGAATGAGATCTGGGAATGCTCTCCAGGACAGAGACGATGGGAAGTTGGGTGCGGAAAATGGGATTTGAAAGTCTTAGAAACCAGATGTAGGGACGCGTTTATGATTGCAATTTACATCACTATCGTTGATAGAAATCTCTTATCGATTCGCTCGGAATGCGCCCGATCTCATCAGATCGTGAAAACTAAACGCGGTTTAACCTTGATAGTGCTTCGATGAGTGACCACCATGCATACAACCGGTGTTGTAGGTTGCTACAGGGCTGTGTTGGCAGCAGAGGGCAGTGCAGTATAAATCCATTGTACTGTACTACGTACACTCCCAATGTCTGCTTCCCTTAATGGCCAACCCGCACTGACCAGCTTGGTGAAGTATGGTCAAATAACCCCCACAACCTACATGGTGTGGGGAAGCCCTCATCTGGCAGTGGATTGACAAAGGGGCTGAACGTGTACACCTGTTATCAGACTTTACAATGATATTGTCATTGCGATTCATTACGTTTCACCGTTACGTTTGTAATTGATTCCAGGTCTGATGAAAACTTAGGGAAATGCAAGCACTTTCCATGCTGCCTTGATGCACTTTGTAAAACCTGGGTCAAATGAATCAACTGCAATACCTCACAATTGGTATTACAAGGGAATGACCACTTGATTCAGTCTCATTTTTGGATCGCTCTGTTTACAATTGAATTTGTACTCATAAAGCATCTAAACATGTAATTGTGGGCATCCTGGGAGCTCTGTTGTAATTTAAATTGATGCTTAACATTGTTACCATTGTAATTTACGATATGCCCGGTCTCTTTATAGGTTTTAAATGCTGCACTTAAATCTATTTGTTAATGGCCAACACCAGTGGCTCGGCGATTATGCGCACGCTCGATGAATGCTCGATGTTGGCATGCTTCGGTTTTACATGTCACCCAAAGTTGTACGCGTTGTTCATTAACGAAAGGTCGCCAGGTGGTTTAGAGGTCAGACCACTGAGCTGGCACCACTGAGATCCAGGTTGTCAAAATTGCGGGTCGCTGCCCGCCGGCGATTTAAACCGGGGGGCCCTCTTGTGTAGCGAAGCGACGGTGGTCTCAGCCTGCTCGCGCACCGGCGACTTCACAAAGAAATCATGGCATTAAATCTGCGCCCCTACTTTATTCTAGTTTGGTGAGCATTAAAAACATTGAATTTGGCTGTCATGTGACGCGAACATCACTTCATAGCAGAATGTGGGGGACGAAAAATGCTTTCACCTTGTGTGGAACGGAGGTCACTAGAAGGCACTTGGGAAGTAGTTCTGTGACGTCTGCTTCCATAGGCCGTTGTCTGACATGGGGTGTTGCACTCAATGCTCTGCGTTGAATATCAATACATTATTCATGAACGCAGCATGATGCCGACAGCATAATTTGGAGTTACATTTGTTGACAAATATTTTTAAATGTTAAAAAGAAGTTCAAAGCACATATAGAAATAAAGATTTGTTACTTATATTTCTATTTCCATAACTCATAAGATTGTTTCATTTTGCTGTTTTAATTGTTATCTTTTAATGTATATGATTCTTACAATAGCTTTACAAGGCATTCTTCTGCATGTGCAATTATGTAAAAGAAAGCAAGAGTTCATGGTTGTTATATTTTAAAATTAACAGCTGAACGGGTTTTGGGTCACTTGAACATTTTAATACTAACCCAATTACCATATTTAATGTCAGAGATTATACAAAGTATTTCATTGTCATACTTTTATAAGGTTTAGTCATTTCAAAAGTACCACACTTAAATCGTATGATTATGAATGGGATGGTGCTGCTCCGTTTTACGCGTTCGAAATTCAGGATGGGGGAGAATTTGTATCGGGTGTCGTGCACTTGAAATATAAATGGCAAAAGAATGCTATGATCGCGTTGACTGTGTTTGTCCTAACGTAGTCCGGCTCCACATGCCAAGGCAACTACACACACTTCCCCAACCACATCTTCCCGCACTTAAAAACCCTCGCCAGCATGCGGCGGCGTCGAGCGTTTGTGATGTTGACTACCTCGCCTGGTATGTAGGAATGCGTGGGTTTATTCCCGACCCTGACGTTTATTGAGTATTTTTCTGCTATCAATTTCCACATGATAAGCCACTTCTTTGAGCGATCATTTGTGGCCCGTCGCTTCTGAAAAAGAGCTACATATCTCAGTGAGCCTTACCTGGTAAATTTAAAGTAAAATAAGTTTTTTTTTTTTATAAACAGTCTGTATGTGTATGTTGAACTTCTTTCGCACCGTACGTTGCCAACCGTGCTAATTGGAGGTACGGGTGAAGGACAACTAACCACAAAGCAGTTCTAAAGAAATTACTTTTCAAATTGCCTAGTCTTGCAGCCTGTTGCTTTACCGATGCACATTTAACTTCACCTGCCTCAATCTTCAAACCCCTTTCCCTACTCATGTGCCTCGTGTGTTCTATCCCCCCATCCCCCCACCCACCCATCAATCCTGGAGGGCGAGGAGGGCAGAGCTCCGACGGCGTGAGAGCCAGAGGGACCTGACACGCCTGGGTCCTCGCTCGGCATTTGCGCTGCGCAACCGTTACCTGTGCAGGCTGGGTGCCCAGGTGAGCGTCGGCGGCTTCGGGCGCTTTGCTGCGTTCGTCCGTCTGGGGCTATGAGATGGGCTGGCGGGAAGGTGCTTGAGTTTCGCCATTCGAATCTGGCAAGCCGCCCCGGTTAATACTGCGGGTGCATCACAGTTGACGTTACAGATCCCGTGATGCCATTTGAAGGAGAGCAAGCCCGTGTTTGTCGGCATCATGGTCCCGTAATTAAACGTTTCTCGCCAATTACTGAAAAAAAAACGTAACTTTTTTATTTTACCAGCTAAGGCCAACACCAGTGGCGATTATCCAAACTGATCCTGTGCCTCACCTAGGTCGACTCATCCTCAAATGAGTACCTGGTGTGATGTGTAAACATTGACATTGGGGAGACAAAGGCGGTCGGGCATGCTGCTGGACACCCACCCCCTCGTGTGCCGTGCCGGCCTTCACAGGTGCTCACTAACAGCACTTACCCCAACAGTCTGTTAAGGCTATACGGTGAATCTTTGTATTTGTGTGTGCGTGTGTGTGCCGTTCAGCTTCCAGCTCACTACAGCCTGCAGTTGTCTTCCCTGGCTTGTCGGAGCCTGCTCAAGTAAGGAGCTGCCTTGCCGTCAGGACAAGCAGCCAGGTCTTGCCATCTGCCAAAGCAACGGTCAATGCACGGGCACTGCCCATTTGGGACTTGAGTCAGAACTCAAGTGGCACCTTCACCATGAACCACGGAGCAGCCGTGTCAATGTCGTAACCATGTTTCGGTGAAAGTAGAACCTGGATACCAGCACAATTCCTTGGGAGCAAGGAGAGGTGTTGCTTATATCTGAAGTAGCGAACTTGTATCAGACATCGCCGTTGACTTTTCACCCTCACGAGTGTCACGGGAGGCATGCGGTGTGGCTCGTATCAGAAGTGTGCTTCTGTCCAGATTCTACTGCACCTCAGAGCTTGAATTTCCTTGTGAATTGTTTACAGTTGTGGTCTGTTGAGCTGTGAAAATCAGATGGACACAGGGTGTGGGGTTGTCGTCGGCTCTTGATTATTCTGGGGTCATGGGGGTGGGGCAAGGGACGGCTTCAACAAAACAAAACGGGGGATGCAAAACATTTTAAGTGGTAAAAAAAAAGTAATTGACGTGGAAATGGGGGGGGGGGGGGGCACGCACTGCGTGGCCACGCAGTGCGCGGCCACACAGTGCGTGCCCACACAGTGCGCGGCCACACAGTGCGTGCCCACACAGTGCGCGGCCACACAGTGCGCGGCCACACAGTGCGCGGCCACACAGTGCGCGCCCACACAGTGCGCGCCCACACAGTGCGCGCCCACACAGTGCGCGCCCACACAGTGCACGGCCACACAGTGCGTGCCCACACAGTGCGTGGCCACGCACTGTGTGGCCACGCACTGTGTGGCCACACAGTGCGCGGCCACACAGTGCGCGGCCACACAGTGCGCGGCCACACAGTGCGCGGCCACACAGTGCGCGGCCACACAGTGCGTGGTTAATCCCCACTCCCGGATAATCTGCTAATCTGCCTACGGGACAATCGAGAAGAGTTAAGGTTTACTCCGCCGTGGAATGGAGTACTAAATGCTTTGAATGTCTCTCAATGCAATTGCAGTGTGGTGACGCGTGTGTTTGTGTGTGTTTACAAACGTTGGTGCAACACGACAAACACGGTTGCCTACAACAGATTATATTCTTTGTTGCTGGAGTGCAATCAACACAAGTATTTCTGTCCATAAGAGGGTTGTTGTTTTATTTGGGTTAGATCGCGTAAATATAAATCACGTTAAACCCACCACTACGCCACACAGCCAATTTACTACCACTACAGCACACTGGTGTGTTAGAGAGCAAATTTAAAATGTGGATTTACTCTCCAGCACACCAGTGTGCTGTTCCAACCCTAAAAAACCCTCTTATTGATAATATTGGTCGCGAAAGCCTGTGTGTTAAGTATGTCTGCTGCGTTGGCATAGTTTACTTTGTCATGAGTTTTTAAGTACATAAGCTAAGCTTTAGACTTGTTTGACTCAATCACTTCTGAGTAGACACTCGTAGTCAATCAACTGCCATTTTGCCGACTGTGGTGCTGCCTACACTTGCCTTTTCACCAAAGTATTTAAAAATATCAGTCCGTCTCTGAACTCTCACGACACTATAGGTGCTGTTGGGTATGCAACAATGCATTAATTATATCGACAATTTTAAATGTGACTCCTCGTACATAGTGTGAATTGGGTTTCCCCATTTATCCTAAACATAAGCAGCGTATTCGGCCTACGAACACAAGTCACCGAGAATGCGCCCAATCTCGCCGGATCTCGGAAACGAAGCACGGCCGAGCCTGGAGAGCCTTTGAATGGGTGACCACCACTCCTCTATTCAACCACTTCTCTATTCAACCACTCCTCTATACAACCCACTCCTCTTTACAACCACTCCTCTTTACAACCACTCCTCTTTACAACCACTCCTCTTTACAACCACTCCTCTTTACAACAGCTGCTGCAGCCTGCTGGGGGGGGGGGCTATGTTGTGGGCAGCAGAGGGGTCCCTGCCACCAAATCCGTTGTACTGTACTATGCTCCAACGTCCATGCTCCCCCACTTCACCAGGCATGGTAAACAACACCCACGAGCAGCGCAGAAGTGGGGTGGCCATCGTTAAAATAATTGTGTTTGATGTTCAAAAATTACTTACTAATCTTATTTACACAAGGGGTCTGAAACTTCTCTACAGAATCAGAGAACGAAAAGTGTAAATTAAAAGATACAAGCCGAGACGAAAATAATAACGTTGAATATTCTATACATTTTGAAATGTCGCCCCAAAATCCACGATTCAACGCATGGCTGGGCGCAGTGAATTGTTGCACACCTCTGTTTTTTATTGCCATGGAGCGAACACTGCAAGGGCATGACAACACTAATCGGTGCGACTACAAGCCTTGTAATTCACCTCTTTACCCCCATACATTTCATGGGTGTTTGTTTTCTCGCCGATCGTTGTAAAGCGTTAGTAATTGAGTACAGCGCGCGTCCTCGGAATACTGGGCTAATTCATTTTGTCCATTCGTTTTTAACAAAACCCCCGTTATTACCAAGACGACTTCTATATTTCTATTGCTTACATTACATGCAACACAATAGAAGCAAGACAAAAGGGAGGTAGACAAAAACGGCATTTGAAATCACAGGAGGAAAGCTACGAGACAATTCTGGAATGCACAGAACCCGACGCCACTGGGACTGCACTGCCCCCGCCCCCCGTGCAGCGTGGGCGACGAAGCAAACCTCGGTCCGTTCGTCAGTGACGGTGGTGGCCCTAAATAGACAACGTAGACAACAGGCGACGTGTTGTGCAATGGGTCCCTTTGACAGCGCACGTCTATGTCGCGTTGTCTCCAACTCCACTCTCTGGCCTATGCGCTGCAAAGGGCCATTAATGGACGTCTGTTAAAGAGCTTCACAGCTCATCAGATTCTTCCAGCAGTCTAAATGAAGGCCACACTGCTATTGACGAATGTTGAGCTTTTGTTTTCGTTATCCGTGCTTGTGCACCAGTTGCCAAAGGCAGCGTCACTAACAGCGAGAGAGAGAGAGAGACACAGCGTCGCTTTGCGTGCTGTTCGGCGTTTGAGCTTGGCAAGTGCAACTTAACAAAATTCTCCTTGAAATTTGATTGTCCCCACGAAAGCGCCGCTGCCTTAAGCGGGACACGGTGTTAGCTGCACCCAGTACCGAGGGCACGACTGTGCAGCCGTTCATTTGGAGAGTGCGCGCTGCCTCAGAAATGGCTTTACAACCAAAGTCCTTGGACGTGCCCAGAGAGGATTGTGTAATGCAGCACGCTGTGACGGTAGTGTATGCGCACTGGAGTTTGCAATGTTTTAATCTTTCAAAATAATGATGTACTGTAGTGTTTCTCGTTTTACAGTTTTTGAAAAATAAAGTTTGAGATTAGACAAAATAACCTTTGGGCTTGTTTCAGTCTCATGTATTTGAGTTGTGCACGTTACGTTAACAAAAGGCACGGTTGTTGTTAGAGGGAAAATGTAAAATTAATGGTAGATCAGTCCAGGTTTGCGTAGTGGTAGTAGAGGCAATGTCTGGCAACGCGACATCACAGGTGGGCAAGGCAGTATGGGCATTTGTACGACGGCAGAGCACGGCGTGCTGCGGACAGCATCGCGTGTCCGAGCGATAACGTTACAACCTCGTGGCACACTGTCGCTCATAGCTCAAGAGTGCGTCGAGCCAAAGCCAACAAAGATGGCCGATTTCTTTCGTTGGTTTGACAAGTTGAGGGTACCATAATGGCTGTCATTTGTTCTTGTAATTTTTAATTATTTTTATGAAAATGTTAAATTAGTTCGCCAACACTTAAGGCCATTCTGGTCCTGGTTTAAATCGCTACCCCTTGAAGTAAAGCATCACAATTCTATTGCTGGGGGTGGTGGAGTTCGGGGAGACTTCGCTGCTGCTGCTGCACCCGCCAGCTCCCAGTGGCCCTTGCTCGGCACCGGTGGTGGCGATCCACGATTCAAACCGTGACTCCAAATCATCACAATTCTACCAGCGGTGGATGGGGGGGGGGAATCTGGAAACCACCGCCACCTCAGCGGCGCTGCTTGATCCCCGCCTTGGACTTGGGGGCGGTGCCGCGCGGCAGGACGGTGTAGGTGGCCTCCATGCCGGCCTGGATGTGGTCCGTCACGTGGCAGTGCATGAGCCACGTGCCCGGGTTGCCGGGCCTCATGTGCGCCGTCTCGAACGTGGCCGGGAACAGGTCCATGACGTCGGCTCGGTGGGTTCCGCCCCCCACCTGCTCGAGACGCGCCACGGCCGCGGGTCAGTACGCGCGGGTCGCGAGCCCGCTGGCGAGCACACGTGGGCCAAATCGACCCTTCGCTTCTGTCCCGTGGCCCCCTCGCATTGCATCTCATCGTCCGAATGTCTGGCCAGAGGCAGATCTAGAACATTTCAAACGGGGTGGCTGGAGGGGGTGATCTTAAAATTGCATGATACTTTTTCCTTCCAAACAGGGCCCTACATTAGTAATACAAATTCCTTGACTTAAAGCTTTCGTGACTGCAGGAATTCATATTCTTGGGTCTTTCGGTAAAGTCACGGAGATAGGTTCAAATAAAATAACAAAAAACTACGACGTTTTGATCGCAACGTAAGCGGTCGTCTTCAGGAAAAGGGGGGTTTAGCTTCCAAGGGAAACGGTTTTAAATGGGCGTAGCCCAAATGTCAGCAGCCAATGATAATGTCAATGTGAGTGTTCGTCAGCGAGCCCGACGGTGTTTACCTGGCAGCTCTGCTGTGATTGTGTCACCTGATGACGGTCGCTTGCGTTGCGATCGAAACGTCGTGATCTCTTATTTTCTACCTACGTGACTTTACCGAAACATCCGGAGAAAACCCGATCGTGCAAGGGTGGGGGGGGGATACCCTATCTTCACTCGTATGTATATACGGTGAACTTCTTTTGCACCGTACATAGCCAACCGCACTAATCGAAGGTGCGAGGGAAGGACAACAACAACTCCATACAAAGCAGTTCTAAAGAAATGAGCCCCTTCTAGACATCCGAGAAAAAGAGCTTCAATAGAGATCGTATTTCTCCAGGATAAAGATTTCGATTCTGATCCCAGAGAGACGGAGTCCACATTTCTGCCATTCCCGCCATCTCGGGGACGAGCCCAGGGTCCCTGCACTGAAGCCTCCCCCGATGCCCAGCCCCGGGCGGGCCGGGCGTCCCACGACTCCCTTGGCAGGTCCTCTACGGGAGAAGCGGGCGGTTGCGTGGAGGCGGCTGTGGTTAGCGGCGCGCGTGGTGTGGGGGAGAGAGCGAGCGAGCGAGCGGTGCCGCTACCTGCACGGTGAAGGGGTGGCCGTGGAAGTGCACCGTGTGGATGTCCACCTCGTTGCCCATGCCCAGGAGGTACCAGGCCACGTGCTCACCCTCGCGCATCGTCAGCCCCGGCAGGTTGCCGTACACGTAGCCGTTGATGGCTGCGTGGGGGCGAGCCACAGACGCGCGCACAACAAACAACAGACAAAGGTCCCCCGTGTAGCCTTCACAGCCTGTTGAGACAAGTGCTGTTAGCGAGTAGCGCCTATGAAGGCCGGCACGGCACACGAGGGGGTGGGTGGCCAGCACCACGCCCGGCCGCCTTTGTCTTCCCAGTGGCGATGTTTACACACCGCGCCAGGTACTCATTTTGAGGCCGAATCGACCTAAGGGTAGGCCAAGGACCGGTTCCGATAATCGTCACCTGGTGGTGACCTTGAGCGGGAATTGAACTCGTGTCGCCGGGTTCGTAGCGCAGGGTCGCGCCAACCGCTACCTATACTGTGACCGTACCCTCGGACCGACGGACATCACTAGAGCATGGTACGGTGCTGACCACGACCACAAAAGTGCACCCCGATGCTCGTGTGTGCACGTATGTACAGGTGCGTCTACAGCTACAGGTGTGTGCACGTATGTACAGCTACAGGTGTGTGCACGTATGTACAGGTGCGTCTACAGCTACAGGTGTGTGCACATATGTACAGGTGCGTCTACAGGTACAGGTGTGTGCACGTATGTACAGGTGCATATGAAGGATATTGTTTCTCAATGACCCTCTGCCGGCTCAGCCTCCTGTCTGTGTGCATGTGGAACTTCTTTGGCACCGTACGTAGCCAACCGTGCTCATTGGAGGTCTCGCGCACCTGGCACCTCCGTACACCCCCCCCCCCGTGCCCCCCACCCCCGCGGCGAGCGACGGGTCTCACAGTGCATCTTGTTGCTCTCCTTGAAGTCCTCGTCGGAGGTGATGACGCCCGCCCCGCCGCAGCAGCGCTGCACGTTCTCCTCCAGGTACCACGACTCGTTCTCGTCGAACACCATCCAGAGCAGCGCAAACTCTCGCTCCACCCCGCGGGGCCGCGCGGCGCCGCCGCCGCCGCCGCCCGACAGCACGCCGGGCCGGCACGTGAGCAGGCTTCCGAAGAGGCCGCTGTACAGGTCCTGCGCCACGCACATGCACACGCGCGCACACGCACGCACACACACGCGATTCACACGGTGCAATGGCGATTGGCAACACGGCCGCTCGCTCGGCATGCGCCGGGCGTACTTTCGTATGTTGCGGGGAGCGGTGGTGTAGCGGTCAGCGCGCTGCGCTACGAACCCGGCGACCCGAGTTCGATTCCCGCTCACGGCCAACACCATGAATCGGTCCCTGGGCCTCCCCTAGGTCGACTCCAAATCAAATGGGTACCTGGTGCGGTGTGTAAACATCGCCACTGGGGAGACAAAGGCGGTCGCGCGTGGTTTTGGACACCCACCCCCTCGTGCGCCGTTCTGGCCTTCATTTGGTGCTCGCTAACTGCACTTGCCCCAACAATCTGTTTAGGCTAGCGAGAGATCTTTGCTGAACTTCTTTCGCACCGTACGTAGCCAACCGTGCTAATCTGAGGTGCGGGGGATAACAAACTAAACACACAAAGCAATTTCAAAGAAATTAGTTTTAAATCGAGATGACTTAAAAGTGCATAGCTCCAGTAGATTCCTAATATCGGAAGGAAGAGCGTTCCAGACGGCCACAGAAGCGTGTCCGAAAGCGCACGATGCGGTGACCGTCTTTGTTCCACGACTAGCGAAAAGCCGCTGCTAGGATTAATCTCGTCACCTTCCTTCACATTATTTGTTTACCGTATTAACAATGTTTTAAGAGCTACAATGACTTTGACGTTACCCAACAAAAGTTTAATCACACTGTGTGTCACCCTAAAAGGAATAAAAATACGTAGCAGGCGATGGTGTGGCCGATGCCCCTTATTCATAGCACAGGGCCATTTCCAAAAATGTTGCCTGCTATATTTTTTCTTCAAAGTGTTCCTTACAAACTTGCCGCATGTCGCTGTTGTTGTGTATTGTCCTTGAGCACCACTGCCAATGCAGCAGCAGCATCATCCGAGGAAGCCACTTTTAGAATATTAGGAATCCACCGGAGCTGTGCACTTTTAAATCATCTCGATTGAAAACTAATTTCTTCAGAACTGCTTTTTGGTGTTAGTTTAGCGTTGTCGGCTACGTACGGTGCGAAAGAAGTTCGACGTACATACACCACCAGATAATTTGTATAATGTTGATGTGACCTTCGGCTGTTTGATGTTTCTCCGCGGCTTACTTTCATCTCGTGGTTAAAGGATAAACGGAGGATGTGGATACGAGCTGGAACATGGGAGGCAGGAGGCGGCAAACAGAACACGACCTTGTTGGGGTTGACGTTGGAGTAGTAGGCCCAGAGGAGGCAGTCAGGGTCTCCCTTTCCTGGGCCCGATCGCTCGGGAACCATCCACTTGTACTTCTCCACACGCCCTGCACACGGACCCACACGTACACACGGGCCGTCATACACACACGCATGGGCAGATACACACACACGGGACAAAACACGCACATACACACTGATACAAAGACAAAGATCCCTGTATAGATATGTTAGTGAGCACCTATGAATGCCAACACGGAACACAAGGGGGTAAGGTGGCCAGCACCGTGCCGGACCGCCTTTGTCTCCCCCAGTGGCGAAGTTTACACACCACACCAGGTACTCATTTGGGGCTTAGTTAACCTAGAGGAGGTGCAGGACCGGTTCACAAAATCGTCACTGGTGTTGGCCGTGGGTGGGAATCGAACTCGGATCGCCGGGTTCGTAGCGCAGCGCGCTAACCGCTACACTACCTCTCTTCACCAACTGCGAGACACACACGCATGGTCAGATACAAACAGCGATTCACGCAAATCGATGACGATGGTGGATCTGTATTTCGTGTTTTTTGTTGTGCACAACGCCCGGCAGGTGGAGCGAACCCGGAGCGCCGATGCGGAGACGACTGAGAATCGGGAGCCGGTCGCTGCAAGGCAACGCGTGGCGGCACGGCGCAAATGATCGCGACGAGAGAGAGGCGCTGTGCGGAGGAGAGGCGCTGTGCGGAGGAGAGGCGCTGTGCGCAGGAGGAGAGGCACTCGCCGGGAGCCACAGGGGGGATGTTGCAGCTGTCCAGGCCCTCGTCCACGCCGTGAGCGTGCATGTTGTACGGACGGCTCGCCATGTTCTTGAAGACGACCACCAGCGCCTCGCCCACCTCCGCGCGCAGCATGGGGCCTGGAACAGGGCGGGCTGCGTCACCGCGCGCGGCTGGGGCCACGGCACCACGCGGGCGCTCGCTCACGACGCTGCCGGTGACCTTTCTGGGAGGCTCAACGGGGACACACGAAGACCTGGTGCCTCCTCCCACCATTTGTCAGCCACGCCCACTCGGTCACTAGCCCCGCCCACTAGGTCACTAGCCACGCCCACTGCTCGGGTGGCCCCGCCCACTGCTCTGGTGGCTCCGCCCACTGCTCGGGTGGCCCCACCCACTGCTCAGGTGGCCCCGCCCACTGCTCAGGCTACTTTTCTGGCCACAGCAAGGTGGCACTTGGCATTCTTACCCATAATGCCAAGGTGCTTCTCCCGTTCCCCGCGGGGCTTCTCGCGCGTGAACGTGTCGTCCGTGAACTCGCGGTACACCACCTTCTTGTAGGCAGAGCCAATGCGGTCCGTGCCGCCCCTCAGGAATGTCTCTCCGTGGCTGGGACAAACAAACAACAACGACGACGATGACGACGACGATCCCACGTACAGCCTCGAGAGACTTTTGGAATACTGACTGTGCTCGTCACTGTTTGGTGCCTGGGCTTGCGAAGCCACGGCGGGTAATGTGTAGTCATTGCGGGCAGCCCGGGTTACGGGATGTAGTACCGGCCCTAGTGGGGCTTGGGTGAGGGCTGGTTAGCGCGGAGGCACCGCGAGCTGTGTGCGGTGCCGGCTCCCGGTGAGGGAGCGAGAGGGAACGTCAGCCAGCCAGGGTTACTCTGGGGCGTGATGCGCTGGCTGACCTCAAGTCACGTGACCAGACGATATTGGAGGGGGGCCACCGGTGGACGGGGGCCGTGGGGCGGTCACGTGGTCCAAAGGAGCTCTCGGGAACCTTCGAGAAGGAGCTCGTGGTCCGGGCCGGGATAGTGAACCGTGTCCAGCTGTGCCGTAGCGTGGTTAGAGATAGGCATTGGAGACCCGAGTGTAGTTCGTGTTGTGTTACGTGTTAACGTGGAATAAAGTGTTGCTCCCAAGATAACGTCTGCGACTCTGTTGGACTATGAAGGTCGGCACGACGAGGGGGTGGGGTGACCGGCACCACGCCTCGCCGCCTTTGTCTCCCCAGTGGCGATGTTTACACATCGCACCAGGTACTCAAAACACGTGGACACACGCACGTACATACACACCGACATGAGCAGATGGTGCATGCATTCGAACACATCACTCAAGTACACACGCACACACGCCAACATACACGGACACAGGATGATGTGACAGCTCATTCATCACGTGCCAGGGGCCCCACTCGTGAAAAAAATGGAATTCCCACTTAATAACGATAACAATGCTCACCGTCTCTCTGCAAAGATTGCCACAGCAAACAGCCCTCTGCCTACACACTCGCGCGATGCCGTGACACACCTGCGGCGACAGACCCGCGCGCGTGGCGCCGCACCTGTGCTGCCGCGTGGTGTTGTGCCGCGCGAGCTCCCAGTGGCGCGAGGGGGAGTAGTCCCAGCTGAGCTCCACGGCCGCCACGTAGTGCGTGCGCGTCGCCGTGGGGCGCGGCGGGCGCAGCACGCGCGCATCGCACAGCGACACGTGGTAGTGCTGCTTCATGCCCGCCGACAGGTGGTCCGCCGTCTTGCACACCACCCCAAAGTCACCTGGGGGGGGGGGGGGGGAAGAGAGGGGGAGAGACGCGGGGTGGGGGGGACGATGGGAAGTCGTGGGGAGATGCGAGCATGGTAGGGGGCACAGGTGGTGCATCGGCCGGTCATCTCAGTCAACCCATGCCACCTGGATCTGTCCCGTGACCTCCTGCCACTGGGCGGTCGACACGTTGCCTTCAAGTGCACCTAGCCTGGCACAAGCTCCGTGGTGAAGTCACCACCACTTAGTGGCGAACGGCGGTTGTTGTTGTGAACAGATGAAGGACGGGTATGTGGTCATTGTTGCCATTCTATCGCAACAAGGCAAGAAACGCCTCGCGCGTCCGCGTGGATCGTGCAACGCTGCGCGGCGCGCGGAAGCATTCCAGTGGCGGGCACCGAAGCGGACGGGGGCGGCTGTCAGGGCGATGCCGGAGGCCTGTCACGTGGGCCGTAGGTGGGCCGCCAGGGCTCTCGGGGTCCCAGCAACAATGCGCCCTGACGTGGCCCAAGCGGAGGCGGAACGAGAAACTAGCCCAGTGGGAGGTGTGGGGCGGTCCCGAGACCACAAAGCTTTGCTAGCAAAAAAGAAAACCAACATTCACTTCATTTCCTTTGGTACTCTCCATAAAACTCATTTTTATTCTATCTCACCAGGTAAGGGGCACCGAGCTATACGTCTCTGTCAGAAACGAAGTGGCTTATCATCACCACGTGGAAATGTATAGCAGCAGCCAAATACTCGTGATGTTGATTCTAAATGTGAAGGGGAAAACCAGAGGACCTGGAGAAAAATCCACGCGACCACGATGAGAGAGAGAGACCGTAAACTCCAAATAAACAAGCAGGCGTCAGGGTCGGGATTGAACCCACGACCTCCTGTATACCAGGCGAGGTAGTTAACATCTCCTAGCCACCGTGATGATGTGAGAGAGAGAGACACGCAAACTCCAAATATACAGCAGCAGGCGTCAGGGTCGGGATTGAACCCTCGACCTCCTGTATACCAGGCGAGGTAGTTAACATCTCCTAGCCACCGTGGATCTGGCACTGTGCCCGAGCGCAGTTGACGCACCGGCCGCAGGTGCGTGGGTCACCGGGAGGGCTCACCGGCCTTGTCGGCGCTCATCGTGGCCGTGAGCGAGCTGTGCGGGAAGAGGTTGATGGTGTCGCGCCGGCGCCCCGACGCGCGCATCGTGTTCCCCGCCAGGTAGACGGCGTGGACGTCGACCTCGGAGCCCAGGCCCAGCAGGTGCCACGACACCTGCTGGGCCTTGCACATGCGGAGGCCCTGCAGGGTGTTGTACATGCGCCCATTGATGGCTGTGGAGGCGGGGGGAGGAGAGATAGAGAGATAGGGAGAGAGAGAGAGGAGAGGGTGAGAAAGACAGAAAGCAAAGGGTGCATGGAGAGAAGGAAGGGAGAGTTAAAGGGCCCATTTGGGAGAGGAAGATCGAGAGAGGATGAGAGAGAACGTACGGGGCAGTGGGATGGGAGAAGGTAGAGACACAGCCTCTGTGGATGGGACAGAGCGAGCGAAAGACTGGTGGAGGCAGCTATTAAGCAATGCAAAAAAACAATCACTCAAATTGTGAGGGCCACTGAGCAACGTCAGACTGCACAACGTGACCCCACCAATGGTTTCCATGCTCCGCTAGATCCCGCAGCTGCTGCACGGTCAACACTCGACCCCCAAGATCCCACCACTTGCTCTTAGATAGACTCACCCAGAGACCCAGAGATTCAGCATCCCACCATCTGGCCTTAAGGCCTCCCCCCTTTGGTGGCCGGGCTTGTGGAGACTGTTCCAACGGCCATCTCGCCAATCGGTCCTCACTCCATCCCGTGCCACACGTCCCACCCAGTGCGGACCTTTTTGCCTCCTCGAATGTTCTACTAATTGTATTTTCACCAGGTAAGGGCCGCTCCGCTACGCAGATGTTTGTTAGAAGTGTCTTGGCCATAAATGAGAGCTCAACGAAGCGGCTTATCACGTGGAAAGGTATCACAGCCAAATGCTCTGAACGCGTGATGTTGATTATACACGTGGAGAGAAAAACCGGAGGACCCGGGGGAAAAAGCCACGTGACCACGGGGAGAGAGACACTGCAAACTCCACATACACAGCAGGCGTCAGGGTCGAGATCGAATCCACGATCTCCTGTATACCCGGCGAGGTAGTTAACTTCTCACCACCGTGGCACCGGCCGGTTAAACGTGGTTGTGCACCGCCACCGAGGGGGAGGTTCGCGTGCGTGTCCAGCGGCCGCACCGTGCATCTTGTTGCTCTCCTGGAAGTCGTCGTCGTCCCGGTTCACGCCGGCCGGGTCGCTCGCGAAAGCGGCGATGTTCCGCTCCAGGTACCAGCTCAGGTTCTCGTCGAACACGGAGAAGAGCAGCGAGAACTCGTGGTCGATGCCACGCTGCACGGGAGGGGTGGGGGGGGGCAGGACAACTTTGCATTTTGCTATCGCACTGCCCTCTGGGATGGATGCCAGACCACGGGACACGGCCGAATTCCTGACAGAATCAACGTGCATCGAACGTCCAGGTCAGGAGGTAAACACACGTTAGACCACAACTCTCAGCAGCAGACTCATCATAGTTCTGACTTAAAACTTTCGTGACTGCAGGAATTCATAATCTTTGGTTCTTTCGGTAAAGTCACGTACCTGCGCGCCGTCCGCGCCCAGCTTGCCGGGGCGGCACACGATGAGGGGCCCCACGAGTCCCGAGTTGGTGTCCCGCACGCTGTCCGTCGCCGAGTAGTAGAGCCACGTCACGCAGTCCGGGTCATTCCCCGCCGGGCCAGACTCCTCGCCCACCACCCAGCGGTACAGGAAGCGGCGGCCCGGCGCCACCGACTCCCCGCCTGAACGAGTGGCCGCAGGGTTAGGGGGAGCGGCACGGTACGGGGTCGCGCTGCGGGGGTCGCGCTGCGGGGGTCGCGTGAGGGGTCACGCTGCGGGGGTCGCGTGAGGGGTCGCACTGCGGGGGTCGCGTGAGGGGTCGCGCTGCGGGGGTCGCGTGAGGGGTGTTGTATACTAACCCTTCCTCCAAAATTGAGATTAATAATATTTGATGATTTTTATATATTATCTTTTTACTTGTTTTTTTAAACACACCAAAGCGCAGCAAACTGCAAAACACCAGGTGTTGTTAAGTGATGAACTGGAGGAGGGCTAGGATGGCAGAATTTGCAACCTTGCTTCAAGGAAAGATAAGGCCTGATGAACGGGCACATGTCACCCGTGCAGGCGGCAGAGACAGTGGGAGTGTCAGCCAGACATAGTTAAGGCAAAAAGCCCAACCATCCTGCATGGTTTTAAAGTAACGTCAAAATTCGAAATTCAACAACAGAGTAGGCTAAAGTATCGATCCTCGCGCTCGCTCAAATTGGAGACCAGGCTGCGAGCTACATCAATGAACCATTGCCCATTTGCTAATCCAATACTGAATGTTAATATTACTGAAGTCAAAACGAATTCTATGACCTCAGCACATGGGCAAATAATAGGGCAGTGTCGACTCAAAGGCAATGGAAGAAAACAGAGGCGCCTTTGTCTAAATCACAACCACAGAAAGCCAGGAATCATCACTGATTGTGTGTTTAGGGATTCCGAGCTAGTTGGAACACGTGCACACAGGGGGGGAGGTAGAAGTACGCCTTGTCCTCCTGCAGCTGAGGGAGCAAAGATAAACCCAAGAAGGCCAAGAAATTAAATTAAGTGAATCAGCTCAAGGCTGTGTGCACAGGGGAGGGAGCTGATTTAAACAACCCTGCACGTCTGAACGTGAGGGGGCCCTGGACCTGAAATTAAGAATAACACTCCCAGAGCAGAAGGTGATGGCCACGGTGAGACGAGAATAAGAGGGTTGTATATCTCTCAAGGATGCAGACCCAGCTGAACAACAAGGCTGCGGGGGTCACCAGAAGTTCGCGTTCGCCTAGTTAAGACAAAAAGCTCAATTATTCTGTATTGCTATTAAAGTAACGTTAAAGTCGGAATTTAACAACAGGGTAGGCTAAAGTTTGATATTCACACCCACTCCAATTAAACCAGGTCACAAGTACGCCTACTGAACCATCACCATCATTAAGTCAATATGAAATGTTATTTCCATACTTTAATGCTTTCTATACAACTCGACCCGAAGCATATGCATGAAAAGACAAAAGTAAAACTTATGAAAAGCCAGGATAACGGGATGAATCACCACCAGGTCGAATATAAATACATAATAAAAAAACGATGTTAAACCCAGGGTCGGAGAGAAAGGGAGATCCCGGCCGTCTTTGTATCTCCGCAGCGCGGGATAGGAGTGTGTATACGCTCGGGGAAACACCTCCACTTGAGTCAAGCACCACGATGGGAAACGACAGACCTTAGGTTACATACAGAATCATAACTGTGAAATAGTAAGGGACAAATGTTAACTTAAAACTTCTTAACCATTTCTTTGTGCGCCGGGTCGGAGAGAGTGTTGCCCCTCCCTCCAGGTGGTGCAACACGAACAAAGACGCCTATGAGACGATTTGTAACGTCTGTGTTTTGGGTTCATGAAGAAGGCCAGACAAGAGATAATATTGCACCCAGACAGAGAGACGACCTCGAGGCAATTTGTAACATCTGATTGTTTGCTCGTGGGTTTTATGGAGGGAGTGTGACAACGGAATACCGTGAGTGATGCACACAAGGACATACGGACGTACGGACACACACATGGACACACCTGCCTACGGACAGATCCTGACACAGCAAAAATCGAAAAGAAGCCCCGCCTTGTGGGCGGGATCCAGGGGGATTTTTCGGCATAAAGGAAAGGATCCTGAGCATTGGAAATCAGTGCGACCAGCGGGTCGGCTCACGGGGGGAGTGCGACCAGCGGGTCGGCTCACGTGGGGGGTGCGACCAGCGGGTCGACTCAGGAGCGAGCTGCGACCAGCGGGTCGGCTCGACTCATCTTCAGCTCGTCTGGGACTCAGCCGAGTTCGATCGGCTTGCCAAAGCCGGCTCTCGGGGCTCGACTCAAGCGGCTCCCCATCTCCTCTGCAGGCGGGCAAGACCCGCTTGACAGCTCAACTCGGCCTGCGTGGGTCAACCTCTGCCGAGTCGGAGGTCTCTGCTGCCGCCGGAGTGGTGAGAGTCGCAGTTTGGCGACGAGGCTCCGTGCACACGACGACCCCACCACTGCACGCTGCGAGCGAGTTGTGGGCGCCACCTACCGACCGGGTTCCGAACTGCGACAGCGTATCAACGGGCATCCGAACCAGTTCCCCACGGTGACAGGGGAGCGACTGATACGTATGACGCGCACCGCCCCCTCACCACACGACCACCAGGCGTCTGTTTGACATAAAGAATCGACTCCGAACACTGACTATTCAAGACAACTCTTACCACTCAAACACACTCGAACCCATAAGCCATCCGTGGCTGGGAAGGCATCACAACGAGACCGAGTGATGGCCATCCGTCGTTTATAAAAGTATTCGTAATTTTTATCTTTAATATTTAGTGGGCTGTACTCTTAATCGCATAAATTCCCAACAGATCCATCAATACGAACTGATTTTTGGCACCTCCTTCCGCCGAGCCACGCTCACGTGGGGAGTGGTGGCCCACCGGATCCTTATCAGGTGATCTGGTCCCCAATTAGTAAACTTGGTATAAGATAACGATCTTCGGAAAAGGAGCACCGTCGCAGGCCCTTACTCCGAGCCGTTCTGTTGTCAGATAACCTGCCGATGTATCTGTTTAGATTGATGCCTTTAAGAATAATAACTGTTTTTGATTGTGTTTTGTTTATCGCCGTATAATCTTTCAAGTATCTTTCAGTCATAATCGCCGCACGTACTCGCATCCTCTACAGAATATTCAACTGTCCCGTGACCCAAGGTGCTAACAACGTGATAAGGGTTGCGTATGATCAATAAGGAGTGCGGTACTGCGTGAACAAAATTGAGTATAATCATTCATTAACGTTAAGGTTTTCTTAGTATAGTATTTGCATATTTTAACGACTCTCTCTCTCACTAACAACCATCGCGTTATGCGGGATCCATGTGCCGTTGTCAAAGTGAAATCAGACAATCGTTGATGATACTGTATTGATGCCGTGTTGACGTTCCGGGATTGAGAGTTCGCATACTATATCATAGTTAAGGTTGAATTAGTAATAAATTGATCAATACAGAAGTGGTTGTGTGATTCTTTCCTGAAATCTATGCATAAGATCTGCTTCTGCGTTGAGATCTGAACTTGGTGACCTTAATAAACACACTAACACATACTCAGTAAATGTTAAAGCGATAACGGGGTGAACCGGGGACCTAAAATATAACCACGAATACACACTCTGGGAATGTTAAAGCGAGAATGAGACGAACCTAGACAACGATGCCGAGTTAATCTAAGTTAATCTTGCATACTTACACCACACCTGCATAACTGCATACGATTAATTGCCTTATTCCGATCGATAACCCACCCTCATCACCGAGGCGGGGTCTGGTTATCATAACGACTTGCATTATCATAATTACACCCACTCGCATAATTAATACGATTACCTCTCGAATTGGCATAATTAAAATGTGCGTAATTACATAAATTAACATATTTCCGGATAATTACACATTTGGCCAAATTTCATTTAATTATTATTATTTTCACTGAATATTCATAACCCACATATACAACATAATAATTTCACCCACGCACGCATACAACATAACAAATTTTGATAACCAACATATACAACAGGGGTCGCGCTGCGGGGGTCGCGTGAGGGGTCGCGCTGCGGGGGTCGCGTGAGGGGTCGCGCTGCGGGGGTCGCGTGAGGGGTCGCGCTGCGGGGGTCGCGTGAGGGGTCGCGCTGCGGGGGTCGCGCTGCGGGGTCGCGCTGCGGGGGTCGCGTGAGGGGTCGCGCTGCGGGGGTCGCGTGAGGGGTCGCGATTTGGAGTTCTTGATTTTGGGTCACGGTTCGAGGTTGACGATCTGGGGTCTGTCAATTGGGTGTCGGGGTTCGCAATGTGGGTTCACGACTGGGGGTTAGGATCCGGTGTTCCTGGTGATTCTGACACTAGGAACGCTCACCCCAGATTGAGGCTCAAACCCAGCTCGTGAGCGGCTCACCCCGTGACCCCCGGCTCACCCTGTGACCCCTGGCTCGCCCTGTGACACCTGTGACCCCTGGCTCACCCTGTGACCCCTGGCTCGCCCTGTGACACCTGTGACCCCTGGCTCACCCTGTGACCCCTGGCTCGCCCCTTGACCCCTGGCTCGCCCTGTGACCCGTGACCCCCGGCTCACCGGCCACGCCGTCGCTGTACGCGGCGCCCTCATGCTGCTTGAGGTAGGAGACGCCGTGCGGCTGGATGCTGTACGGGCGGCTCGCGTTGTTCCAGAACAGGACCTGCAGCACGTCCCCCACCTCCACGCGCAGCACGGGGCCTGCACGCGCACAGACAAAGATCCCCACCACCACCGCCGTGGAGCATTAACAGAACGTTGGGGCAAGCGCTGATCGCGAGCACCCGTGAGGGGGGTGGGTGGCCAGGGAAGGCCCAGGACCAGTTCAGATAATCGTCACCGGTGTTGGCCGTGAACGGGAATCGAACTCGGGTCACCGGGTTCGTAGTGCAGTGCGCTACCACTGCCCCACACACTCACAAAAAACACACGCAAGTATATGAATAAAAACACACATGTACAGTACACCAACATTACACACGTGCACATATATACATACACAATTATACAAAGGATAGAGATCACCAACGCAAATGGTTTGTGCATCCCAGGAAGATAAAGAGGCAAGGTGAGGGCCCTACGAGCGGCATTACCGAGCAGAGCGAGGTGCTCGTCGTTCTTGCCGCGCTGGCGCACGGCACTGAACACGTCGTCCTCGTAGGCCACGTAGCGGGCCTTCCAGTAGCGGCTCCCCACGCGGTGCGGCCCCCGCTCTAGGAACACGGCCGAGGGGCTAGGGGACACGCAGAGACACGTGGGGACACACAGAGACACACACACGGTGACACATGGACACACACACACGGTGTCACGCTAAGACACACGGGAACACGCACAGACACACATGGACACGCAGGGACACATACACAGGGACGCACGGGGACACGCAGAGACACGGGGAGAATGGAGATACACAGCGATTATTTAGACACACGGTGACACACACGGGGACGTATGGAGACACACGGTGGGGGGGACGACGACACGCACGGGGAGGCCGGCGGCGATCGCCGGCGCTCCGGGCCCCTCACCTCCCCGGCTCGTCGAGCTTCGTGCCCGAGATGCGGTCGCGCCCGCCCGGCGCGTAGTCCCACACCTCCTCGTGCGCCGCCACGAAGAACGTGCGCGTCACGCCGCCGCTCACGGGCGCCTGCGCGGGGCCGGGAGGCTTCAAGCCGCAGTTGCGCACCGTGTACAGCATCATCATGCCGGCTGGGGGGGGGGGGGGGGGGACGCGGGGGTGGGAAGGGGGAGGGGGTCCGTGGTTTGAAATTCTCGCGCTCGCAGCTGGCCGGCGAGGGGACCCCCAGCGGCAGCGTCGCCTTAGTCGACGTCGCAAACAAGCCGCCACCGCAGGTGAATTGTAAACAAATTTCCTTAGAACCGCTTGCCGTTGCGTTTAGTTTGTTTTTTATCCTTTCCCAGCAACCTCCGAGTAGCGCGCTTGTCGACGCCACGTAGGGAAAACCCCTCGGTCACCTTGCACGTGGTCGTTGACCTGGCAGCTGATGAGCCAGGTGCCCACGCGCGCCGGGGCCATGCGCGCCGATCGGAACGTGGCCGGGAAGAGGGCGACGGTGTCGACGCGGCGTCCGCGCTCCTCCAGCGTGTGGCCCAGGAAGTGGGCGGCGTGGACGTCCGCCTCGTTGCCCATCGCCACGAGGTGCCACCAGACGCGCTCGCCGGCGCACAGCTCCAGCCGCGGCGCGTTGCCGTACAAGTAGCCGTTGATGGCTGCCGGGCGGGGGGGGGGGGGGAGAGGCCCCCCTCGGGTCACGATCGACGAGCCCAAAAAAAAAGCTTTTCGTGCTTCGCTTGTAGTCCTTCCCCCTAGCCACGGGTGGCCCATGTACCGTGCGAAAGAAGTTCAAAATACATCCCTATGATAGTTAAGAGGTGTTTTTGTGGCTATCACAAATGATGGCTCAACCGAGTGGCTGATCATCGCATGGACATTTATAGCAGCAGCCAGATACTCTGAGCGCACGTCGATTCCAAATATGGAAGGAAAAACCGGAGGACCCGGAGTAAAAGTCGGGATCGAACCCACGACCTCCTGTATACCAGGCGAGGTAGTTAACATCTCGCCACGGTTGCGCCCCTTGTCCCCCGCGCGACGTCGCACCGTGCATCTTGTTGCTCTCCACGAAGTCCTCGTCGTTGACGTCCACAGTGGCCGGCTGCTCGCAGAAGCGCTCCACGTTCCTCTGCAGGTACCAGCTCAGGTTCTCGTCCATGACGGAGAAGAGGAGGAAGAACGCTCGGTCCGGGTCTTGGGGGTTCCCATGCTCGTCCAGAGAGCCTGCAGGGTGCACGCGAGGCCATCCGCTCGCTGGGGGGCCAGACCATCCCCCCCACCACACCCCGAGGGAGACAGAACCTCGGCCAATCCCAGATCCATTTCAGGATCGCACTCTGTCTTCAACATCCTCCATGGACTCCTCCTCTCTCATCTCATCTCACTCTCCTCCCACGCACTCTCCTACCTCTCCATCTCACCTCTACTCGCCTCTCCATCTCGCTCTACTTTCCCCTCCACGCACTCCCACCACCCTCGTTGGTTTCTTTCTCCGAGTGGTGGTGCACTGCTTAGCGCACTGTGGTTTAGAGACCGTTGAAAATAACATCGCCCCATGATGGACGACGCCACCGGCGCTACAACGAGTTCCAACTCGGATTTTTTATTTTGTCAACGTCACGGCGTCCTCGACCACCCCCCCCGCCGTCCCGCGTGAGGGGTGGGTTGTGGGGGGGGGGTCCCGGGGAGCCGGGGGGGGGGGCCGCACCTTTCTTGCAAGCGAGCAGCGGGCCGATGAGCCCCGCGGCGATGTCCCTGGGCGCGTCGACGTGCGAGTGGTACGTCCACGTGATGCAGGCCGGGTCGGCCTCCGTGGGGCCGTACTCAGGCTTCAGACTCCACGTGTACTCGCGGCTCTCACCCGGAGCCACCGCGTCGTCCGCCTGCTGATGGCGCTCCGTGTGGTCGGGGTAGGGGGCTCCTGGCGGGGGGGGGGGGGGCGGTGTGGGGGAGCGGGAGGAGCAAGGGAGGCGTCCAGACGATTCGGCGAGCAACCAATCCGCTTTACAGGTCACCCACAGGTCACCCACAGGAACTCCAACCCGATGCTGCAGGACTCGAGGTCTGCTCCTCTCTCTCGCAGTGCCCCCCTAACCCCCCCACCCGCCCCCACTGCCCCCGCTCACCCTCGCTGCTCTTGTCGTAGTGCAGGCCGTGCGAGTGGATGGTGTAGGGGCGCGACGCCAAGTTCCTGAGGTGGACGACGACGGTGTCGCCCACCTCGGCGCGCAGCACGGGCCCCAGGAAGCCCAGCCACGGCTCCTTGGGCAGGGCCAGCGAGAAGGCGGCGTCCGCGTACTCCTCGTACACGGCCTTGGTGTACACGGTGCCCACGCGCCGCGGGCCCCGTCGCATGAACGTGCCGGCGTGCCTTGACGCGCACGCGGCGCCGCGAGGAGGAGAGAGGCGGGCGAGTTAGTGGGCGGGTGAGTGAAGGAGTAAGTAAGTGAGTAAGTGGGTGAGCGGGCGAGTGAGCGGAGAGTTGGGCGAGTGTTTGAGCGAGTTAGTTTGTGGGCGAGTACGTGGGTGACTGGATGGCTGAGTGAGTTGAGAGGTGGTTGAGTGAGTGGGTGAGTGAGTTGAGTGAGTGGGTGAGTGAGTTGAGTGGGTGGGTAAGTGGGTGAGCTGAGTGGGTGGGTAAGTAAGTGGGTGAGTGAGGTGGGGGGTTGTTAAATCGCCAAGCGCGTCGCGTTTGGAAGTGTTTATTAATCATCAGGCGCGTGCGGCGCAGAACGGCCCATGGAGCGAGTCGGCGGAACGTGTGCCGACACGCCGCGGGTTGGGACGCCGCCGGCTCCGGCACTCACTCGTCGTCGTCCACGCTCACGTCGGCGATGAGGTTGCGCCGCGCGGGCGCGTAGTCCCAGTCGACCTCGCGGATCGCGATGAAGTGAGTCCTGACGACGGCGAGGGCGGCCGGCACCCACGTGCAGCAGCAGCAGGCGACCGCGAGCCAGGCGAGCGGACGCATCCTCACCGGCGCAGCTGGGGGGCACGTGCAGACAGAGAGACGTCACGGCGTTACAGAACATAATTGAGGGGGGGGGGGGGCATCACGGTGGCTAGGAGATGTTAACTACCTCGCCTGGTGTACAGGAGGTCGTGGGTTCCATACCGACCCCGACGCCTGCTGCTGTGTATTTGGAGCTTGCAGTGTCTATCGCCCCGTGGTCGCGTGGATCTTTCTCCGGGTCCTCTGGGTGTTCTCTGCACTGTTAGAAACATGCGTGTCGGAGTATTTGGCTGCTATAAATGTCCACATGATTAGCCGCTTCATTGAGCTATCATTCGTGGCCAGGCCGCTTCTGATAAATCGCCATGTAGCTCAGTGGGCCTTAACTGGTAAAAATAATTAATTGTTTAGTTTAAATAGTTGTTATTTATTATTAGTTAATACATCTAGTATCGGCGTTATCATTGGTGCAGAGCGACCGTGACGACGAAGGGAGGCGCTGCTATGTTTTACAGACGCAGCCTGCGGTGGTATCACGCGGCTCCACAACCACCACACAGCCACCGCCAACATAGCCCCCCACCCCCCATGTGATCCAACGCCGTGAATGCTGGAAACCCCCTTGCAAGCCCCGCCCACGTTCGTTGTCCGACGAGTCGAGGAACCACCTAGTCGTTACACTGTGGCTCAGGTGGCGGCTCAGTGGCTGTGCGGGTGGTGAGGGGGGGGCAGCTCGCAACGGGAAGGTGTTTGTGTTTAGTGACTTGCTTCCCATTTTTTCTCTATTTTGCACTGCTATCGTGTATTGTTGTTGTTGTCCTGTTTGTTGTTGTTGTGACTTGCTGACCCGTCCCTTACTGGACATCCTCCAGGATAAAGATTCAGATTCTGTGCCCACTCTTCCCCTCTCTTAACAATCCACAGAGATGTCATCCAGAAAACACAAACAAGAAAAACAAAACACAAACAACAGAAACAACACACCACAAACAGCACACAAGCTCAACACTTTCATCAATAACACACAGTGTGTGTGGCCTCGGGTAAAGTTTATAATCGGTCACGTGTTGAGTAGTGGTGCTTATTTTAAAACATTCAATACGAAAGAGGGGATGAGAGACGGGATTCAACACAGACACACACACAGACACCCACACACAGACACACAGATACCCACACACCCACACACACCCACACACCCACACACAGAGACACCCACACACACAGACACCCACACACAGACACACAGACACCCACACACCCACACCACACACACACAGACACACACAGACACGGGCTGGTGACCATTCTGCTGTGTAAAGCGAGGGCTGACCTCTCTGTTATCGCAGTCACCGTTATCCGTTATCTGTCTAGGTGGGCAAACCGAGGTCTGAGAGGGCGACACGGCTCCACAACCACAACACACAGACACCACCACACACACAACCACCACTACACACACACAGACACCACCATCAACACACCACCACACAGACACACAACCACCACTACACACACAGACACCACCGTCAACACACAGCCACCACACAGCCTCAGCAGACTGTTGGGGCAAGTTGTTGGGGCGAGTCATTTCTATAGAACTGCTTTTAGTGTTTAGTTTGTTGTCTTTCCCCTGCACCTCCGATTCGCACAGTTAGCTACGTACGGCGCAAAAGAAGTTGAACATACACACGTGTACAAGAGCTGTTAGAGTGCACCTATGAAGGTCGGGACGCCACACGAGGAGGTGGCCAGCACCACGCCCGACCGCCTTTGTCTCCCCATTGGCAATGTTTACTACACACCGCACCAGGTACTCATTTGAGGCCGAGTCGATCTAGGGGAGGCTCAAGACCGGTTCAGATAATCATCACTGGTGTTGGCCGTGAGCGGAAATCGAACTCGGGTCGCAAGATTCGAAGCGCAGCGTAGCGCTAACCGCGACACTGCCACACACACAACGCTTCACCTCGCAGCACGGAATCACCCTCGTATAAAGCGAGAGAAACAGGGGAGCGAATCACAGGAGGGAGGAGCTACTACAGAGAGAGAATGTTCACTTACACAGAAGGCAGCAGCAGTAGCCACGCGATCATCCGGCGGCAAATCCCCCCTCCAAGCTCTGCAGTCCTCTGTTTATGAAGGTGTCATCGGCCAAGTAGTGAATGTTGAAACCATGGCTCCTCTCTATCAGTCCCTGGGGTTCGATACGTGTTTGGGGTGCCACGGTGGTTAGGAGATGTTCACTACCTCGCCTGTGTTCTCACTCTCCCTGTGGTCGCGTGGATTTTTTCCCTCCACATTTATAAACACGCATTTAGAGTATTTGGCTGCTTTAAGTTTCCACGTGATAAGCCACTTCGTTGAGCTATCATTTGTGGCCAGGTCGCTTCTGAAAAAGAGCTGTATAGCTCAGTGAGCCTTACACCTGGCAAAACGAATTAGTTTAGTTTAGTATGATACTCTGTAAATATGTATAAATCTCTATGAGCACATATCTGGGTCTCCATGAGGCTCTATGGGTCCCTAATGTATTTATATTGATATCTACAAGTCTCTATGCGTCTCTGGGTCTTTGCGAGTCTCTGTGGGTCTCCAGTTGATGTATATGGATGGCTACGAGTCTCTTATGGGTCTCTAAAATAGTGTTTTAGTTTCACTAACAGCGTCACCGATCATGCAGATTGCATCTCACAATGGCTGAAGGCACCACAGACCTGACCCGGATGGTAACAGCAGCCAGGCAGAGGGCTGGTGCGACAGTAACAGCCACTTCCCAAGTTTTGCGGTCCTCTATGTATTAAGCTATTTCTCGGCCAATTCATGTACAGGTCTCAAATCTGCACGATCCTCTTGTCGCCAACTCCACAAGACGCGTCTCTTCAGGCTGCGCACCTTGAAGTCTTTGTTTCATGTTGTATTTGTTACCGACCGGAGTTCTGAGCCATACGCGTTGATTTAAAACGTTACTCTTGAGGCTCCTCGTTATCTTGCTGTTATCAATCATCCTACCGGTATTATTTGAGGGGCCTAGTGAATACTGAAACTAATTTACTGAACAATTTTTTTTTATTTGACCAGGTAAAGGCCCACTGAGCTGTAAATATCTTTAAAAAACCGACCATTTGTGATGGCTACATCATGGCTACATCACAAATGACGGCTCAGCGAAGTGGCTGATGTTCACGTGGAACTGTGTAGCAGCCAAACACTTGAAACGCGTGATACTAAATGCGGAGAAAAAAACCCGGAGGGCCCGGAGAGAAATCCACGCGACCACTGGGAGAGAGAGACACGCAGACTCCAAATATACAGCAGCAGGCGTCATGGTCGGGATTGAACCCACGACCTCCTGTATACGAGGCGAGGTAGTAAACATCTCACCACCGTGGCGCCCCAATTAAAGACAAGGCCCTTGCCTGCAATATCGGCAGGTAACCAGCAAGAAAACCCGACTGTTGATGAGACGCTGTGTGTCAAAACCGGCCCAGAGTTTGCTCGTCTTGAATCAATGCTGCTCAACATAGGCACTCCCAGAAGGCCATGCGGCTGATGGATTGTGTAAGAATTGTTTAATGATATGTGAAGGATATCTAAGCAAGAAACTTTTGGCTAATGGCATGTCCATGGAACCAACGTTGAGTCAACATTGGTCCGACGTTCCACTCGTACTGGATTGCCTGCTTATCTATTTTCTCATCTTACATTCAATAATCCTTCCAGTCCACACGAAGCAGACACGCACAGCACCTCCGATTCGCGCGGTTGGCTACGTACGGTGTGAACAAAGTTCAACAAGCATGCACACAGCAGACGTCTCTCTCAACATGTACGCACCTTGAACTTCTTCGGCACCGTACGTAGCCAACCGTGCTAATCGGAGGTGCGGCGGAACTAACTTTGGTCCCAGGTGTCTCCCTCTCTCGTGCCGGGGCCACCTCCAGCGAAGCTTCGGTCCCAGATGCACCGCTCAGCTCTCTGCCGACACCTACCACAACTCGCCCTTTATATGTGTCCAAATGTTTAAACAAAATTATAATAATAATCCTCTTGATGGCCCCTCCTGCATATCCTTTCCCGAATCAAAGGGCCTTCCCGGAATCCCAAGCAACGCTGCCGAACCCTCCCACCGCAGTCCAAGTCAACATTGCCACACGCAGCGTCCAGCCCGCGGTTCAATCATTAAACGCCGTGGCGGGCATCCGCTCCGAATCGTCGAATGCCCCCCCCCCCCAACCACTGCGCTCTCTGCCACCCCTGCCTCTGATTACAGACACTGGGTGGGGGGGGGGTCTCGTCACTCGCATGCAGCAATACCACCCCCCGGTAAACACGCCAACGTTGAGGCAGCGTTGATGCAACGTTGACACAAAGTGGGTGAAACCGTTGAACAAACGTTGGTTCAACGTTTGAGTCAAGGTCCCATGTCTACTGGGATAGCTCTCCCAGCTGTGTTCAGCCTGCGCCGCGCGTTGTTTGGCCAGACGTCCGACATTTCGCTGCATGTGCCGAGTGGTGGAGCGAAACGTCGGACATCGTGTCAAACTAACACGCGCCACAACCCGAAAACGCGTGGGAGAGCTTCACATTGAACCGACGCAGCAGCATTAAAGAGGTCGTCTGTGAGTGGTGAGGTCTGTGAGAAGTGAGGTCTGCGAGTGGTGAGGTGTGGGAGTGGTGAGGTCTGTGAGTGATGAGGTTGGTGAGGACAATGGTGATGTTGGTGAGTGGTGAGGATATTTGCGAGTGGTTAAACAGTTAAACTATTTGTATATTAGCAGGTAAGGCCAACTGAGCTGTATAGTTATTTTTCAGAAGCGACCTGGCCACAAATGATAGCTCAGCTTAGTGGCTTATCACGTAGACATTTATTGCAGCAGTCAAATACTCTAAACGCGTGATGTTGATTCTAAATGTGGACGGAAACACCGGTGGACCCGGAGAAACATCCACGTGACCAGGAGTAGAGAGAGAGAGAGGTGCAAACGCCAAATATACAGCAGCAGCAGGTGTCAGGGTCGGGATCGACCCACGACTTCCTGTACACCAGGCGAGGTGGTTAACATCTCCCAGCTACCACGACGACCAGTTACTCTCTAGGATCTGGCCGCCCACTCCACCACATCATCAGCAGCATCATCATCGTCATCAGCAGCAGCATCAGCAGCAGTATCATCAGCAGCAGCATCAGCATCATCATCAGCATCATCAGCAGCAGTATCATCAGCAGCAGCAGCATCATCAGCAGCAGCATCAGCATCAGCAGCAGCATCAGCAGCAGTATCATCAGCAGCAGCATCAGCATCATCATCAGCATCAGCAGCAGTAATCATCAGCAGCAGCATCATCAGCAGCAGCATCAGCATCATCATCAGCATCAGCCGCAGTATCATCAGCAGCCGCAGTATCATCAGCAGCAGCAGCATCAGCATCATCATCAGCATCATCAGCAGCAGCATCAGCAGCAGCATCAGCAGCAGTATCATCATCAGCAGCAGCATCATCATCAGCATCATCATCAGCAACATCAGCAGCAGTATCATCAGCTGCAGTATCAGCCGCAGTATCATCAGCAGCAGCAGTATCATCAGCAGCAGTATCATCAGCATCAGCAGCATCAGCTGCAGTATCATCAGCAGCAGCATCAGCATCATCATCATCATCAGCATCATCAGCAGCAGTAGCATCAGCAGCAGCAGCATCATCAGCAGCAGCATCATCAGCAGCAGCATCAGCAGCAGTAGCATCAGCAGCAGCATCAGCATCATCATCAGCATCAGCAGCAGTAATCATCAGCAGCAGCATCAGCATCATCATCAGCATCAGCAGCAGTATCATCAGCAGCAGCAGTATCATCAGCAGCAGCAGCATCAGCATCATCAGCATCATCAGCAGCAGCATCAGCAGCAGCATCAGCAGCAGCATCAGCAGCAGTATCATCAGCAGCAGCAGCATCATCATCAGCATCATCATCAGCAGCATCAGCAGCAGTATCATCAGCAGCAGCATCAGCATCATCATCATCAGCAGCAGCAGTATCATCAGCAGCAGTATCATCAGCATCAGCATCAGCAGCATCAGCAGCAGTATCATCAGCAGCAGCATCAGCATCATCATCAGCAGCAGTAGCATCAGCAGCAGCATCATCATCAGCATCATCAGTAGCAGCATCACCCGGCCTCCTTCACGACGCGACGAGGCGGCGACGGGGTTGATGGGACGCGCGGAGTGCATCGGCGGTGATGCCGGCACGGGTTGGGCGACCCTCCCGGGTCGTGGCCGCGAGTCTCCTGGCGTCGATCTCCCGCTCACGATTGGAAGCAAGGCCGGGAGGTTTTAATGAGCGGATATTTTAAGACAATAAATTATTAATCATAATGAATAATAATTTACAAAAATATCCCGAAATAGCTTCGGTCAGAGTTGTCAAACCCTACATGAGACCCACGGTTTTGCACTTCAGTCGTGTTTCCAAGTGAAGTTGTGTTTTGTTGTTGTGATGCAATACGGCATTGTCCCACAGTGGGTCGCAGTGGACACTGAACGAGCAGAGTAACGCCTCTCACTCAACTCCCCTCCCTCCCATCTCACTCTACTCCCCTCCACACACGCTCCCGCCTCTCCCCTCTCATCTCACTCTACTCCCCTCCACGCACTCTCCCGCCTCTCCCCTCTCATCTCACTCTACTCCCCTCCACACACTCTCCCGCCTCTCCCCTCTCATCTCACTCTACTCCCCTCCACGCACTCTCCCGCCTCTCCCCTCTCATCTCACTCTACTCCCCTCCACGCACTCTCCCGCCTCTCCCCTCTCATCTCACTCTACTCCCCTCCACGCACTCTCCTGCCTCTCCCCTCTCATCTCACTCTACTCCCCTCCACGCACTCTCCCGCCTCTCCCCTCTCATCTCACTCTACTCCCCTCCACGCACTCTCCCGCCTCTCCCCTCTCATCTCACTCTACTCCCCTCCACGCACTCTCCTACCTCTCCCCTCTCATCTCACTCTACTCCCCTCCACGCACTCTCCCGCCTCTCCCTTCTCATCTCACTCTACTCCCCTCCACGCACTCTCCCGCCTCTCCCCTCTCATCTCACTCCACTCCCCTCCACACACTCTCCCGCCTCTTCCCTCTCACCCCACTCTACTCCCCTCCACGCACTCTCCTGCCTCTCCCCTCCATTATCAGGGGGTCTGTGCACTCCGAGTAATCATCATCTGAGGCTGCCCGTGACCCCGACGGTGTCACGCGAGGCGACTGCACTCGTGGTTACAGTTTCACGGCGTGGCCATTCACGCCGCTGGCGTCGGCGTGATTGGCCACACGGAGCGAGAGGGCCTCGTGGAGTCGTTCACCCGCCCCCACGATTGGTAAACTCGATGCGACTCAATTTTGTCTTCCAGTCTGTTCAAGGCTATACGGGGGACCTTTGTCTGTGTGTGTGTGTAGACAGCTTTGGGCACGGGAGACATTGGTGAGTGTTTGCCACCGGCTGTGATCGCGCTGCGTTCTGCCGCTCCCATAGAACCGCGCGTGATGAATTAAAGATTCATAAGCCCCCCCTCCCCCCCCTAAACTCAACCAAAAACCCCCCTAAACTCAACCAAAAACCCCCTAAACTCAGCCAAAACCCCCTAAACTCAGCCAAAACCCCCCTAAACTCATCCAAAAACCCCCCTAAACTCAACCAAAACCCCCTAAACTCAGCCAAAACCCCCCTAAACTCAGCAAAAACCCCCCTAAACTCATCCAAAACCCCCTAAACTCAACCAAAACCCCCCTAAACTCATCCAAAACCCCCCCAAACTCAACCAAAAACCCCCCTAAACTCATCCAAAACCCCCCTAAACTCATCCAAAACCCCCCTAAACTCAGCCAAAACCCCCTAAACTCATCCAAAACCCCCCTAAACTCAACCAAAACCCCCCTAAACTCATCCAAACCCCCCTAAACTCATCCAAAACCCCCCTAAACTCAACCAAACCCCCCTAAACTCATCCAAAACCCCCCTAAACTCATCCAAACCCCCCTAAACTCATCCAAAACCCCCCTAAACTCATCCAAAACCCCCTAAACTCATCCAAAACCCCCCTAAACTCATCCAAAACCCCCCTAAACTCATCCAAAACCCCCTAAACTCAACCAAAACCCCCATAAACTCAACCAAAACCCCCCTAAACTCATCCAAACCCCCCTAAACTCAACCAAAAATCCCCCTAACTCATCCAAAACCCCCCTAAACTCAACAAAACCCCCCTAAACTCATCCAAACCCCCCTAAACTCATCCAAAACCCCCTAAACTCATCCAAAACCCCCCTAAACTCAGCCAAAACCCCCTAAACTCATCCAAAACCCCCCTAAACTCATCCAAACCCCCTAAACTCAACCAAACCCCCCTAAACTCATCCAAACCCCCCTAAACTCATCCAAAACCCCCCAAACTCATCCAAACCCCCCTAACTCAT